ATTCTTCCTATGTACAATCATAAGAGATCTTTCCATTTTTTGCATGTGTCTTCTTCAGTTTCTTTCCTTAGTGTTTTATAATTTTGTTTTGATGATCTTTCACTACCTTGGATAAATTTATTCCTAGACATTTCATTTTTTGTAGCTATTGTGAATGGTACTGTTTTCATGATTTTTTTCTCAACAAGTTTATTATTGTTGTATACAAATGCTATTGAATTTGATGTTGACTTCTGTATCTTATAACTAATGAATTTGTACATCAGTTTCTAATAGTCTTCTGGTGGAGTTTTTAGTTTTTTCTATATATGGAATCATGCCATCTGCACACAGAGAGAATGTGATTGCCTCTGTTCCTATTTGCATGATTTTTAAAAAATTTCTCTTGCCTGATTGCTCTGGCTAAAACTTGCCTTTACTGTTGAAAGACATTTTTGCTAGATATATGATTCTTGGTACAAGTTTTTAAACTTTCAGTACTTTATGTCATACGACTGCTTTCTTGCCTCTATTGCTTCTGGTGAGAAGTCAGTTGTTGATCTTGTTGGAATTCTCTTATATGTGATGAGAACTGTCTTTTCTTGCTTTTGAAATATTCTTTTTCTTTGTATTCCAACACGTCTGGTTGTGACCACTGTATTGACCTTACTTCAAATTAATTGAATTTCTTGTTGTATTGATGATTTTTTTTCATCAAATTTGAGAGGTTTTCAGCAATTCTTTTTGAGTATCTTTTTCTGTGCTTTTCACATTCTTCTAATACTTCCATTATACATTTGTTGATGTGCTTAATTATGCTCTGCATTTCTCTGATGCTCTATCTTATTTTTTCTCTCTATTCTTCAGATTGCAAATTCTCTATTTATATATCTTTGAGTAATCTGATTCTTTTTTCTACCAACTCAAATCTACTGTTGAGCTCCATCTAGAAAAGTTTTCACTTTTGTTAATATACTTTTCAACTTAAGAATATCTATTTGGTTTCTTTAAAAAATGTCTACCTTTTTATTAATATTCTTTTTTTAAAGATTTTTCCATCATACCTTCCTTAGCCTGCTTACTTTTATCTCTTAGAACATACTTACAATAATTTCTATAAAATCATTGTCTTTTAAGTCCACCATCTGGGCCTATTTATGTATATATTTATTTGTTTATTTTTTGTCTTTTTGAGGCAGGGTCTCACTATGCAGCTCAGTTTGGTCAGGAACTCACTTTGTAGCCTTGTACTCACAACAGTCCTCCTGCCTCAGTTTCCTAAATGCTTGGATTACAGATGTGTGCCAACACACCCAGCTGGGCCCCTTTAAAAACAATCTTTATTGCACATCATTTTTTTCCTCTGTATATGAGTCATACTTTACTAACTTTTTTTTGTATGTCTCTTAACTTTTTGTTGACACATGGACAATTAAAATACTATGTAGTAGTAATTCCAGTTATTGATTCTACCCACCCCATACCAGAGATGGTGATAGTTGTTAACTGGTTGGTCATTTATTCACTTAGTAACTTGACTGAAATTACTCTGTGAAGTCTATTTTTCCTGTAGTGTGAAGCTGATGCTCCTACACAGATCCTGCCCTCTTTCTTTTTTCTTTTAACCCTTGGGTTGGCATTAGCCACTTATTGCTAAGATTGCATATAAGCCTCCTAAGCCAGTTAGTTTTTTACCCTTTATTATTAGCTATTTTTGGTTTGGAGTCTACTATCACAGTTCTGGAGTTGTGTATTTTTTGCTCCCTGTTCAACCAGTGATTACTAATTTGGAGGTTTCCTATATAATGGGACCTGAGAAGGCACAGACTAAGGTATGAGTGTAGGAAACAATCTGAGCAACTCCCCTTGAATGCAGAACAACTGCTGCAACATTGATTATATCAAGACTTATTTTTATATACTGACATGTATAGAGCTAACTATGGTATTTTTAATTGGCTCTAAGCATTATAAATAAGGCTAGCCAAGGTACTGATATATAATCTCTAAAGTCATCAGTCTCCCATTTTCTCACCTAGTGCTCTCTATAAAAGATATGAGCACAGTGGGATGGCAGAGCCAGTCAGCTCTGAAAATGTCAATTGGGTATGAGCCTTAAAATAAAGAGGCTATGAGTTCCTAGGGCACAAATGTTTACATATCAAAAACTAAAGCAACAGCCTCCAAAAACAATTTAATTGCTACCTTAATCAAATTATGTAGATTGATCCTTCTCCATGTCATTCTCCCTGCATTTCGCAGAGATGCTTTTCTCCCTACCTGGCTAGCCAGCAGAAGTTACTCACATAATTCCTAGCATCTTAACTGTCATTCATCGTTGAGCCACCCCCTTCTTCACAAGATAATAAATTCTGGGAAAGCCCTAGGATCAGGGTCTTTATCTGAACATGCTCATGGGGATTGGACTCAGGATCCCTTGGCTGCCCTTAACTTGGAATATGTCTTGGTGTCTTTACTCTCACTACAGGTTGCTTTGGAGGTGGTAGATTAGAATTAATTTGCTGGGATTCCAATAACATCTCAATGGGATTACAAATGTAATTTTTTGGATTTTGGAGAAGACTAAAAAAGGGATTAAAATATTTGAACCATGGTATTCAATACTTAGGATTACAATATTTGGTGCTCAATATGGCTGGAACACAGGATTACAATATATGAGTATAGTTTTTCCAACTGTCAGAGTTGAGTTTAAGTCTAATGCTAAGCTTGGCTTCTGAGGATACTCCTGGGCCAGATACATTGTGTATAACTTCTTGACTCTTAGAGTTGACTGTGACAGCACGAGGCCTCTCTTTGCTTCTCTTTCCCTGGGTCTCTCTACTGAATTTTCAGCTGTTATGCTCTTTTACTCGCATAATGAACCTACCAGTCAGTCTTCTCTTTATTGTTCACCACCAAAAATTTTATTTTTTAAAAAATGTCCTGAGGCATGGAATTTTCTACTATGTGTACCAAATAAAGTCTATCCCCCTAGGCAGAGCTAGAAGTTCTTTCATCTCTGTGGTTGAAGTTTCTTTCATGGGCAGAACTCTTGTCACAGCTCCACAGCAGGGAACAGCAACTCACTTTCTCATGAGTGGTGCCCTGTATCCATGAGTGGATACCATCCAGTGGTGGCAGCACTTAGTACACTTGGATTTCTCTTCCGGGGATGGGACCTCCACCCATGAATGAGATGGGGTTTAGGGCAATCAGGGGCTTAGTATCCTCTGTCTGTCATGCCAGGGTAAAATTTCTGTCCTACAAGTGGGAGCTCAGAAGACGAAGAGATGCTTGGTCCTCTTGGTCATGCCTTCTTGCTATAAAGCTTCTAAAGGGCTGGGAGAGATGAGAACTGCTCGCAACCTGCCCCTCCTTGTATAAAATCATAACTGCAAACTGGGACCTGCGGGGAGCTAGAGGTCCTGTCTTCTTGGTTGTACCTGATCAGGGTAGTGTATTTAGAGTAGAGCTTCTGTAAAACAGAGCTGGAAGAGTTGTGCTGAGATAGTGAGCCACAATCAAATGACACAGACTCTCACTGTTTTGTGAGATTTAGTAGATTTTTCTCAAATGACTTTCTCCATTTGCCATATGGGCTTAGGACAATTTCCAGAGATTTTAAATGATTAGGTTTTATTGTTTTTTGTTGTTCTTAGTAATTTTCACTAAATTGTTTTAGAATAGGTCTTCAGAGATTCTTATTCCATGGTTCTAAAAATCTTCATCTTTTATATGGAGATTTGAAATAGTCCCTCAACTGGTTTTCCTTTTTTCACTCTTGCCCTTCTTAAGTTTATTGTAACATGAAAGCCAGGGGACTCACATTCAAATATCTCCAGGATGCTTAAAAGTTTCTAATGGTGTCCTTTTTTTAAAGTAAAAAACAAGGATCTTAAAATGGTTTACAATGACCTACATCTCAGATTTGTGACCTAATTATCTACTACTCTTCTTCTCATTCATTCTGTTCTAGACACATTCTCCTTCTTGTTTTCTGTCCCTTAAATTGGCCATACTTCTAATACTGTTCTTCTGTGGTTTGGGTATTGAGATTATACTAATCCCATAGAATGACCTGGAAAGTATTTTTCCATATTTTCTCCTATTCTTTGGAAGATCTTTTATAAAACTGGAATTAATTCTTGACTATTTGGTTAAACCTCTAGAGTTAGCATTCTCTTTCCTTATGAAACAATTCTAAGTTATCAGATGAACACCTTTAAATGTTATATAACTAATGTTTTCAAATTCTTCTTGAATCAGTTTTGGTAGTTAAGTTTCTAGGAATTTTGTTCATTTGGTTTACATTTTAAAATTGATTGACATGAAATACAAGTCCCCCCAACCATGTGTTGGCACTTTTTAAATTAATATTTCTTGAGTTGTAAAATTTGTTTATAATTTAAAATAACTAATTCATGGTTTTATAGTATAGAAAGACTTCTCTACAGTAGTCTTTCTTTTTCCAAGACACTCAGTGAATATCTGAAATTACAGATAGTACTGAGCCTTATTACATATCTTTTTGTTGTTATTGTTCCTTGAGACAGGGTCTTGCTATGTAGTTCAGGCTGGCCTTGGATTCACTATGTAACCCAGCCTGTTCATGAACTCATGGTGTTCCTCTTGGCTCAGTTTCCCCAAGTGCACATTTTTATATATTCCCTGGCTCAAAGTTTTATCTTTCAATAGACCATCACTTCCCTGATTCTACAACCTGTCTACCAACCTCACAGGAGCTGGCACAATGTCCAAATTGATGAGTTTACTCCCTATTTTAAAGATCTATCTTGGCTCTCTATTGTTCACAGAATCTTACTCCAAGCTCTCCTTATATCCTCATTTTCAAATATGGTTCTCTGTCTGCTCCACACTTCAGTCACACTGAACTTTTCACTATAATTTGAGTATATTCTGCCCTGTGGCATATACTTGTGAAAACAATGTATGCTACCAATTATTTTCACATAACAATAGGTTTGTTCTTCTAGAAATGCCCTTTTTCCTTTCTTTAAGTGGAAAAACACACACTCTTCAATTCAAATGCCAATTTCTCTGTGAAATCTTTCTTGATTCTATCATAGTTTATAAGGTTTGCTACTATTTTCTATGTTTATCACCTGCATTCTGTTTATGTAGTTTTATAGTATGTAATACAATGCATTGTGATTATTTGATTATAAGTCTTATCTTTCCTATCAAATCATAAGTTGCATGAAGGGAGGATTTAAATTCTGATTTTTTTCATCTCAGGAGCCCAGCCCAAAGCATGTCTTTAATCTTTACTTGCTGAAAGAATGAAATGACTAAAATGACACAGGGTGAATATTTAAATGTGCTAGTCAACAAGAATGAACAGGAGAAGGGACAAAATTTTATGTCTAAGTTGGCTGGCCTTGTGGAAGGAGTACCTATGGCTTTATTAAGTCACACAAAAAAGCTGAAGGTGTAGGGTAGGTTGTAATGGGGGAAAAGCGCAAACAGGAAGGGTTGAGTAGATATAGCTGAAGAACTCCTGTGAAACCACTGTGTAAAATCTGGATTTCTATTTGAATAAGTAGAGAATTGTTAGAGGATTATTAGAGACGTGGCTAAAATGAAGCCATGAAAATGATGTGCTTAGCAAGGCTAGAAGAAAGCATGTCAGGCAAGCAAAAAAGTCACCAGAACCCAGAGTGCAGAGCACACATGGTGCGTGATGATGGGAGATTAGATGCAGAAAAAGGAAGAGGCTGGAATCCCAGCGCTCTGTGAGGCTGAGGTAGGAAGATCACAAGTTCAAGCTTATTCTTAACTTAGCGATTTAGCAAGACCTGTTTCAAAACAAAAAATAAAAAGGTTGGATGATGTAGTTTGGTGCAGAGGGCCTGGCCTGGTCTTAGGTATCCTCATCCCCAAAAATCTTTTAATCAACTTGGTTTCTCTGTGCCTTACTTTCTTAAGCAATAAAACAAAGCTGCTCCACATAAAAACAATCAGCAAAATTGTCAAATGTCAAGGTATATCTTCAATCACTCCATGTTCACAGCTACCACTTTAGCCCTGGCTCCAATCACTTATCATCTGGATCACTGTATTAGACTATGTGGTAATCTCTGCACATTGTCTCTACAATCTGTTTTGTACAACAGTCAGCATCATCTTTAAAAAAATATCAGAGTTAGGATTGGGGATTTAGCTCAGTGGCGTAAGTGCCTCTCTGGCAAGCACAAGGTCATGAGTTTGATCCCCAGTACCAAAATAAACAAACAACTCCCCCATCAAAAAAATCTGAGCTGAGTGTGATGGTGCACATCCATAAGGTGGTGGGGGGATGAAAAATTCTAGGCTGGCCTGGGTCACTTACTGAAACCTTATCTAAAAAACCAAACAAACAAAAAAGTATCTCATCTTATTAAAATGTTTGCATGGCAAAAGAAATCTCCAACAGAGTAAAAAGAAAAGACATGAATTGGGAAAACATTTTAGTCAATTGTCCCTCACACAAAGGACTCCTGTCTAAAACACATAAAGAATTTTAAAAAATCAGATCCTTGAAAAACTGGCATCTGAAATGAATACACACTTCTCAGCTGAAAAAATACAAATGAAAAGTACGTGAAAAAGTGTTCAGTTTCATTGATCATTAGAGAAATGCAAATTAAAACAACACTGAGATTCCATCTCACTCCAAAAAGAATAGCCAGGATCAAGAAAACCACCAATAACAAATGCTGGAGAGGCTGTGCAGAAAAAGGAACTCCTTTACACTGTTGGTGGGAGTATAGTCTGGTGCAACCACTGTGGAGGTCAGTCTGGAGTTTCCTCAAAACCTGAGATTGGAAGTCCCATTTGACCTAGCTATTCCACTTCTGGGCATATTCCCAGAAGAATTGAAAACATCATTCCTCAGTGATATATGTGCATCCATAATTATAGCAGCACAGTTTGTAATAGCCAGATCTTGGAAACAACCTAAATGCTCATCAGCTGAGGAATGGACAAAAAAAAAATTGTGGTATTTTATACAATGGAGTACTACTTAGCTATAAAGAAGGATCACATTGAGGCTTTTATAGGTGAATAGATGTGACTTGAGACCATACTCATAAGTGAAATAAATCAAACTCACATATGTAAATACTATATTGTTTCCCTAGTGTAAGAAACTGAGAGAGCAAATAAGACATAAAATCTTCAATAAATATTATGAAAGGGTAAGCAACTGCTCAAAGGGGAAAAATAACTCAGGGAAAAGGAGAAAAGAAAGAAGGGAAAAGAAAAAAGATATAAATTTGTATATACACAAGATAGCTAAGATGACTGTACTACTAATCTTATTAGTTCTTAGAACAAAACGGCATTCTTGGGATTAGATCAATTCTGCATGTTTATATCTGGTAATCTCAGTAACTCTTGAAGATAACTATGTGAAATAACAACTTTAGTTATGTTCCTACTGTTTTATTTTGAAAGCCTATATTGTCATTGTTTTGGGCTCTTTGTTGTTATTTATTTGACTCTTTTGTTCCTTGCTTTTCTGGTAATTTGTTTTGTTTTGTTTTCCCTTCTAATACAGAAAGGATAAGATGTACATGCAGAGGCTTATACATGCCTGGAACTTGGCCTAAACAGTTTACAAGAATTGATTTTGTTGAATGTGATAGTATGAATAGCTACTTTGAAGACAATGAGACATTATGGTGGTCATTGCTGATTTCCTATCATCTTGTTGTGAAGTCCAGTAATGCTTTTATTCTTTATTTTGATTGGTTTTAGCCTGTTTTGTATTATTTAATTTCAATATATGTGATGGTATGGACAGCTATTTTGAAGAGAACAGGAGACATTATGGTGGCCATTGTTGATTTTCCTATTGTCTGGTTTTGAAGGCCTGTAATGATTTCATTCTTTTATTTTGAATGGTTTTATACTATTTTTGTCTTGTTTGAATTCATTGTGTATGAAGATATGGACAGGTATTTCGAAAACAAGAGACATTATGGTAACCACTGTTGATTTTCTGTTGTCTTTTTTTGAGATCCTCTGTTGATTGCATTGTTTTTTCCTGATCTGCTTTGTTCTGTTTCATTTTATTCTCTTTAAAATAAAAAAATGAGGGGAATGTGACTCAGTGGTAGAGCACTTGCCTAGCCTTTGCAAGGCCCTGGGTTCTCCAGCACTGAAAAAAATCTAAGGCAATATAGTCATGTGGTATATAACAAACAGTGTTTTTGTCAACCGCTGACTGCTCATACAATGGTTTCCCATACAGTTATAACCAGAAAAATCCCACTGTCTAGTGATGATGTAGTTGTTATAATGTTGCAGTGCTAAAAATCTCTCATGTATTTGTTGTGATTTGATATAAACAAACCTATAGAGCTGCCAGTAGTGTAAAAATATATCACAATTATTCCTAGTACATATTTTAAAATTCTAATAACTATGTTACTCATTTATACATTTACTATATAGTATTGAACTATATATCTAATCATTATTTGAGTGCAAATAATGATTTACTTACAAAAAAAGTTCACTGTAAAACAGTATGCCTGTGATACCAATAGCATCCTCATATATTTCATTTATTGAATGTCTTGATAGAACCAAGAGGACAGATGTTTGCACAAGGACGAGATCACTTAATGCCACATTTCTCAAAATATATCTCCATTATTAAGTGACACACGACTGTATATTACTCTGCTGCTTAAAATCTCTGGCCCCTATTGTACTAAGAGTCCAGTTGACATTCTTCACCCTGGCCAACATGAAGCTCCCACAAAATGAGCCTCTCTAGTCAGTTGCACAGTTCTCATCTTGCTTCACCCTTCTCTCCCTCCATACACTTCGGTCACACTGGCATTTTTGCTTTTCCTGGAGCATGGCCATATCTTTTCTACCTTTTCACATGCTGTTCTCTCTACCTGAAATTCAGCTTTTTGGAAAGGTTTTTAATATCTTTCATATTTCAGGTCTAGACTTGACCCCCTCAGAATGATCAGTGCCGACCTCTGTATCATTCATTTATTTTCTTCTTAACACCTATTGCAATCGGCAATTACTTTCTTATGTGTTTACTATTAATCTCAGGTTACAAGGTCTAAAAGGTAAGGGGCAATTTGTCAACTGTTGCATAGTGAGAGGTCAATAAACAATTGTGAACAGATGAATATATGAAAGGAGCAATGAACGTAGAGTCCACTAAGAATGGGTAGTGAAGTAAGAGGAAGGAAGGAATTTTAAAAAGACCTCCATTGAATTTTGAGAATAGCAAATCTACTTTCCATTAGTTTGTAATATAAAATATTAACAGGAATTTCAGAGAGTAGCCAGAGGACTCATGCCTCAAACTGGGGAGAATCAGAGAAGCTAGAGTCAGGGGAATTAAGTTCCATACATTAGAAATTGGTGAGTGATTCCTATGTGCCAGGCTCTATGGGCATGCACTGTGGGAGTTATAAAGATGAATGTTTATATTTCAAGAGTTTATACTCAAGAACCCAGAAATAGAGATAAAGAAAGGGGTTTAAGAAAAGCTTCAAGGAAGTTTACTTGTTGACCTAGAGTCAACAAGTTTTAGTCAACAATGAAATAACACAAATTGTCCTGTCTGTATTTTCTCACAAAATGTTTTACAAGAGTAGAATGCAATGCAAAATAGTTTAAAGGATGGACTTTTGAGGTCCTGTGTTAGAGGGGAGACAGATACATTTGGGAGCTTTGGGCCTGCAACTGACTGTTTGGGAGAATTTTATAAATAAATAAATAAATAAATATGGCTGCTAAGGGCCTACTATGAATCAGGCCCTCTAGGGACATTATTTTATAGACTCATTTAGCTTTGCTAAGCTTTGGTTTTCTTGTTGCTCTCTGAAACTGAGTAACCTTGATTGCTGGTTCCCAAACAACTAGTGCTGGGCATAAGACTTGCAGACATTCTTCTCTGCCTTTAGGTAGCACCCCCACTTTTGCACTAGAGCAGAAAACTGGCACTCGAATGATCTCCTAGGCATTAGAGTGTACTTTGGCTCTTCATGAGATGGGAAAATGGAGGAGAACATTGCAATAATGAAGCATTAGTTTCTTATGCACACTGTTGGATGAGCAAATTCCTACCATGGCAACCATAGTACTATATATTGGGAAATGGTGATATTAAGGTGTCAAAAAATGATTACACTAAAATGTTACTAATATTAAGATAAACTGTAATGTAGGAACTTGTAGCAGTTGTCTTAATCGAATGCTATCAAGGTAGATGCATTAGATGGCTGAGAAAGTGAACAGCATAGAGAAAAGGGACTCTGTTAGCATGCCTCCAGGAATGACCATGGAGAGCTCTGTCTATCTCTAAATGATAGCTTCTTTAGGCTGAACTATTCCTGCCATGGAGAAGGGCAATTTATCACGTACGTAAGTTTGATTTAAAAAAAATCTCTAGGGAATATCCAATTTTATTCAAAGTATATGTTTAAAAAGCAGCTTTCTGGTCTCTAACTGATTTATTGTCTGGGAAGACCCACCAAACAGGAATGCCCTTTGCAGACAATGAGAGTCCTGACTTGCCAATACCTTGCTTACTATAAATGACTGCTTTGAGGTCTGCTTTCCAAATTAGGCTGTGACTCTGGAAGCATGGATTTTACTCCACAGAGACTCCTCATCTCATGATGGGACTGGAAATGGGAGAAAAATATGTAGTAACAAAACTAGAGTAGCCTGGTCTAGGCGATCTTTAAGTGCTGTTCTTTTAGAATGTCTGGTCTGAAGCAGCCACTAGTTTTACTCATTAATTACAGCAATAATTAATTATTCCTTACATTTCTTCAGTGCTTTTGACTTTCAAAGCACTTTCACATATATTATCTAATTTTATCATTTTATCTACTACATCTTCCTTAGCTCAAATTACTTGCAAAACTACACTTGTAGAACCCTGGTGAAGACACTAAAAGAAATAGCAGTTTGTCAATATGTTGAAAAATATGTCTATGACTGAGCCTAGCAAAAGAAAATAAAGAAGCAAAGGTAGTCTGTGTCTAGGCTACAGTAGATTGATCTCAGAACTTGGAGACAGGCCCAGAACAATGAGGGTGAAGTAGTACAAAGATATGGCTGAAGATATGCTATTGCTAGAGACTTCAGAAACACCCAAGTGTAATCAAGGTGATCGGGGCATATTTTCAGGACCAGAATGTACTTATCTTTTTTTTTTTTTTTTTTTTTTTTTTTTTTTTTATTATAGTAACTTTTTTTTTAATTTTATTTAAGAGGAAAAAGAGAAAAACACAAAACAAAACAAAGTGGTGTAAGGGTACACGTAATACAGAACTACAAAAAAAAAAAAAACATAATAGTAAGAAATCACCTGCTAATAGATTACATATTATCATCTTGGAAATAGTTGCTCAAATCACAGTATCAAAGAATACAAAGTGAACATTCAAACAGAGAGACTGCAAACAGCTGTGTTCAATGATCCAAAAACATTAATATAGTCAGCTATTTAACACCCGTAAACACAATTGCTGTTATATCCATAAAGCTCTTTTTTTTTTTCCTTCTCTTTTTTACAACAAAATTTACACATTTTGGATTTTATTACTCCTAGTTCTTATTACTTTTGGGGGGGGGAGAGAATATAGTCAAATATGGAAAACAAAGCTGTCACTCAAAACCAAGGATAGACATAGCACATGATGTAGAACAGAGTACAAGGTTATCAACAATGGTTATCAAAGTTGTCTCTTGTTTCCTTAAAAAGAATAGTCTATCTCATTAGATATTATAAAGTTGGACAAAACAGTAGAGAACAATACCAATAAAACTTAGGCATTGTAAACATTACAGGACTTCCAAAGGAGACAACAGTCAAACCAGAATGGGCATCTTAGTGAATCTTATTGCCTTCAAAGTAGGTGCTTATACCCTCAAACTTGATACTATCATATAGAATGGAACAGAGTCTAATCAGTCAAAACAAGATCGTGGGAGCACCACAGGACTTCAAAACAAGTTAACAGTAAATCAAAAAGAATTACTATAATATATGCTAATTTAAAAAAATTTTCCCCTTAATTAAAAAACATAAGAAATAACTAAATAATTTTTTTAAAGAATAAGGGAGAGATTGAGATAAGCTCCAACATGGCGTGGATCTCAGGAGACACTGCTAGATCTCCCCCTGGAAAGGCTGCAGGCTGCCACCCTGCCTCCACTCACAGGGAGAGGAGATGCTGGCTTGGCTTCCCAGAGACCTAAGCTCCAACAGGGCGAGGATCTCAGGAGACACTGCTAGTTCTCCCCATGGACAGGCTGCAATGGGCTAAACTACTGCCGCTTACCAGGGAGGGGAGGTGCTGGCTTGGCTTCCCAGAGTCCTAAGTTCCAGCATGGTGTGGATCTCAGGAGACACTGCTAGTTCTCCCCCTGGAAGGGCTGCAGTGGGCTAAACTACCGCCGCTTACCAGGGAGGGGAGGTGCTGGCTTGGCTTCCCAGAGACCTAAGTTCCAGCATGGCGTGGATCTCAGGAGACTCTGCTAGTTCTCCCCCTGGAAGGGCTGCAGGCTGCCACCCTGCCTCCGCTTACAGGGAGGGGAGGTGCTGGCTTGGCTTCCCAGAGACCTAAGTTCCAGCATGGTGTGGATCTCAGGAGACACTGCTAGTTCTCCCCCTGGAAGGGCTGCAGGCTGCCACCCTGCCTCCGCTTACAGGGAGGGGAGGTGCTGGCTTGGCTTCCCAGAGTCCTAAGTTCCAGCATGGCGTGGATCTCAGGAGACACTGCTAGTTCTCCCCCTGGAAGGGCTGCAGTGGGCTAAACTACCGCCGCTTACCAGGGAGGGGAGGTGCTGGCTTGGCTTCCCAGAGTCCTAAGTTCCAGTATGGCGTGGATCTCAGGAGACACTGCTAGTTCTCCCCCTGGAAGGGCTGCAGGCTGCCACCCTGCCTCCGCTTACAGGGAGGGGAGGTGCTGGCTTGGCTTCCCAGAGTCCTAAGTTCCAGCATGGTGTGGATCTCAGGAGACACTGCTAGTTCTCCCCCTGGAAGGGCTGCAGGCTGCCACCCTGCCTCCGCTTACAGGGAGGGGAGGTGCTGGCTTGGCTTCCCAGAGTCCTAAGTTCCAGCATGGTGTGGATCTCAGGAGACACTGCTAGTTCTCCCCCTGGAAGGGCTGCAGTGGGCTAAACTACCGCCGCTTACCAGGGAGGGGAGGTGCTGGCTTGGCTTCCCAGAGACCTAAGTTCCAGCATGGCGTGGATCTCAGGAGACTCTGCTAGTTCTCCCCCTGGAAGGGCTGCAGGCTGCCACCCTGCCTCCGCTTACAGGGAGGGGAGGTGCTGGCTTGGCTTCCCAGAGTCCTAACTTCCAGCATGGTGTGGATCTCAGGAGACACTGCTAGTTCTCCCCCTGGAAGGGCTGCAGGCTGCCACCCTGCCTCCGCTTACAGGGAGGGGAGGTGCTGGCTTGGCTTCCCAGAGTCCTAAGTTCCAGCATGGCGTACTTATCTTTTTTTTTTGTCTTTTTTGTTTTTATCGGTACCAGGAATCGAACTCATGACTGCCTGCTTGCAAGGCAGGCGCTTATGCTGCTGAGCTAAATCCCCAGCCCCCAGAATGTACTTATGAAATCCATTATGGTTTTGATAGACAATGTCTCCCACGGGGCGATATTGCTGACTCGTGATTGGGAGGTAGGGCCTGCTTGGAAGAGGAGGGTCACTGGGTGACCTGGAAGGGTGTATCTCTCTCCCTGAATCTTCCCTTCTACTCTCATTTTCAGCCTGCTGAACATGGAATGAAACGGGGCCAAAATAAGGCTCTCCCCTATTAAGTTGTGGGTATCAGGTATTGTGTCCCAGCCACAAGAAAGTAACTAAGGCACAATCTAATCAACTCCTTCCTTGAGTGCTGATGCTTCTGGTCTGCCATACCATGGACTATTTCTTCTCTGCTTTGCCGCCCTGCCTTGGAGTCAGCCCACTATGGACTGAATCCTCTACAGACTGTGAGCTGTGGAGGTTTAACTTCTCTCCCGATAACTTGGGAGTATTGGGTATTTTGTCCTAGTTATGAGAAAGTAAGACACATTGCAAGTTAATATGATCACAATATATAGTAAATCTTTTCCCCTCAATTTTTCTATTTAGTTTGAAAATTTTCAAATCTACAGGAAAGTTGCAAAAACAGTGCAATAAATTTCTCAATAGTCTTAAACCAAATTTTACCAATTTGCTGATGGATATCCAACAGCTCCAGCACTATTCATTCTTTTTTTTTTTTTTTTTTTTTTTTGGTCTTTTTCATTTTTATCGGTACCGGGGATCGAACTCACGACCGCCTGCTTGCAAGGCAGGTGCTTATGCCACTGAGCTAAACCTCCAGCCCCACACTATTCATTGAAAAGGCTGTTTTTTTTTTTTTTCATTGAATTGCTTTTGGATCTTAGTAAAAAATCTGTGGGCAGCTGGGTCTGGTGGTACATGCCTATAATCCCAACATTCTGGAGGTTGAGACAGGAGGACTGCCACAAGTTCAAGGTCAGCCTGTGTTACATAGTGAGTTCAAGGCCAGCTTGGGCTACATAGTGAGACCCTGTCTCAAAACAATTACAAAATTACAGTATTTCTGTGGGTCTGTTTCTGGGATCTCTAGTCTGTTCCTTTAATGTATGTATTTCTTTGACAACATCACACAGTCTTAAATTACTGCAATTATATATTGTGTTATTACTGGTAAAGTGATTCCTTCTCCCACTTTATCCTCATTTTACAAAACTGTTTTATCAATTTAAGTTTATTTTTCCATATGGATTTTATAAAATATGTATATGAATTTAGAGAAAATAAACATCTTTACTATGCTGAGTTCCAATCCATGAACAGTCTTTGTCCATGTAGTTGTCAGCATACAGGTCTGTTATATGGTTTGTGAGATTTATATCTCAATTATTTCATTAAAAACTGATCGCAATTTAAATTTTGGTCTCCATGTGTTGACAGACCACAGAAATATATTCATTGATAGCACATAGAAATGATTTTTAAACTTTGTTTTGAGATGGGAATCTTACTTTTTTCTCAGGCTGGTCTCAAACTCTTGAACTCAGGCAATCCTTATTTTCTCAGTCTCCATAATAATGAGGACTGCAGGTATATGCCACTATGGCCAGCTAGGATTGATTGATGTTACTGAGTGTATTGGTTCTGGGAGGCTTTTTAGACTCCTTGAGTTTTTTTTTTTAATTTTAAAAAGCAAGAGAAACAAACAAAAAGATAAAAACAACACAGAATTTTACAAAATAGTAGGAAATTAACACTAGTTAATATACTACATATTGTTATCTTTGAAGTAGTTGCTCAAGTTACAAAATGTAGGCATGAAAAAATGATCAAAGAATCAAACAGTGACAGCATAAACTGTTCTTTTGATGAACTAACAGATTAGTAGTATAATTATCTACACACACACACATATATATGTATACCTATTTACATATAATCTTTCTCTTCTTCCTTTCTCTTTTTCCCTATCCCAGTAGTTCTTTCCTTTTTATTTTTATTTATTTATTTATTTAAATTTTTTTTATCTGCATTTGCATTCTGTAAGTTCTTTCCTTTTTAGCACTTTCTTTCCCTTTCATTATCACAATATCTATTGTACATTTTGGATCTTATTACTCTTTCAGGTTTTTTTTTACACTAGGGAGATGATAATATTTACACATGTGACTTTGATTTATTTCACTTACTTGGATGGTCTCAAGTTGCCTCCATTTACCTATAAAAGCCTCAAGTTTATCCTTCTTTATAGCTGAGTAATACTTCATTGTATAAAAATACCACATCATTTTTATCCATTCCACAGCTGAGATTTTCTATGTACACAATCACACCAATTATAAGTAGGGATGATTTTATTTCATCCTTTCTGTTTTGTATGCTCCTAAGATGCTATCTGCAATGTCTTTCAGATACACAAAGCTGAGAGCAAGGATAATAGTCTATTTTTCTTTGTTTGTACTATCTTTGTCTGGTTTTGGTATCAAGATAATACTACTTTAATAAAATGAATTGAGAACTATTTCCTCCTCTTTTATTTTCTGGAAGACTATATAGAATGATATGAACTCTTCTTTAAATGTTTGTTAGAAATCTCCAGGGAAACCATCTAGGCTTGAAAAGTTACTCTGTTGAGGAATTTTGAAATTACAAATTCGATTTTCTTAAGAGATACAGGGCTATTAAAATTATTTCACATTTGGTGAGTTATGGTAGTTTGCGATTTTTTGAGAAATTAGTCTACTTCATATAAGATGTCAGTCTTATGCATGTATGTTTGTTGCATTCTGTTGGTATTCTTTTGATGTCTGTAGGGGCTGCAATACCCAGTTCATTCCTGATATTGGTGATTTGTGTCTGCTCTGTTTCTTTGTCAGTCTTGTTAGACATCTGTCAGTTTTATTGATGTTTTCAGAGTACCACATTGTGCTGCACTTTCTCTTATTATTCTTTTTAATTTCATCCCTTTCTACTCTTTATTATTTTTTTCCTTCTACTTGGTTTGTGTTTATTTTGCTCTTTCTTTTACTAGTTTGTTAAAGTGAGAGCCTATATTATTGATTGGAGACAGTTCTCTTTTAATCTGAAGATGTATTGTTATAAATTGTCTTCTTAGCACTGTTTCAGCTTTGTCCTACAAATTTTGACATATAGCTGGGCATAGTGGTTCATGCCTACAATCCCTGCACTCTGGGAGGCTGACTCAGGAAGATCACAAGTTCAGATCCAGACTGGGCAACTTATAAGACTTAGCAATACCCTGACTCAAAACAAAAAATAAAGCCAGGCATGGTGGCACATTCCTGTAAACCTAGCACTCAGGAGACTAAGGCAGGAGGAGTGCCATGAGTTTGAGGCCAGCCTGGGCTACGAAGTGAGTTCAAGGTCCACCTGAACTGCATAGTGAAACCCTGTTTCAAAACAAAGTTAAAACATAAAAAATAAAAATGAAAGCTGGGTGTAGAGGCACACACCTGTAATCCCAGCATTTGGGAGGCTGAGGCAGAATTGTCGCATGTTCATGGACAATGTAGGCTACATAGTGAGTTCAAGGCCAGCCTAAAATACATATTGAGGCCCTGTCTCAAAAAACAGAAACAAAACCAAACAAACAAAAATGAGCTGGGGAATGTAGCATAGTGTGAAGGCCTGGATTTAATCTCACTATTGCCAAAAAAAAGTTGATGTGTTTTCATTTTAATTTAGTGTAATGTATTTTAAAAATTTCCTTGATATTTTCTCTTTGACACATAAATTATTTAGAAATATATTCTTTCAATCCATGGTACAAAAAAAAAAGAAGTGTTCTAACAGTGAACTACATCTAAAAATATATTCTTTAGATTCTAAGTGTTTAAACATATTTCATCTTTCTTTTATTGATTTCCTATATAATTCCAATTTGATTTTTTTCTTATAAATTTGATGATCTTTGTTTGATCATACATGATATGCCCCATCTTTATTTTTGATTATTTTATATTATTGCCATACAATGCATAAACTATAAAATATGCCACTGAAAGTGTTTTTTTTGGTCTGAGACAGGGTTTCACTATGCAGTTCAGGCTATCCTTGAGCTTACTTTGTAGCCCAGGCTGGTCTCGAACTTGCAACAATCCTCCTGCCTCAGCCTCCTAAGTGCTGGGATTATAGGAGTGTGCCACCATGCCTAGCTTTTTTTTATGTCAGACTGACCTTGAATTCACTCTGTAGTCCAGGCTGGCCTCAATCTCACAGTGATCCTCTTGCCTCAGCCTTCCTAGTGCCGGGATTACAACTATGTGCCACTATACCAGACCTGTTACTGTAACTTTTTAAAGTGTAAACTCACTGACATTCATTTCAAGACTGCAACTGTCACAACTGTTTAAAAATTTCCATCAAATTAAACAGAAATTCTGTACCTATGAAATAGTAATTCCAGCCTTCCTGTCTCTCATTTCCTGATAACCTTTAGGCTACTGTCTGTCCCTATGAATTTGCCTTTTGGAGACAGTTTATTTAAGTGAAATTATGTTACTTATACTTTTGTGCCGGGCTTATTTTACTTAACCTAATGTTTTCAAGGTTCAGTTATGTTGTAGTTTGTGTAAAAATCTCATCCCTTTTAATATCTGAATAGTATTTCATTGTATGGCTATACCACATTTTCTTTATCCATTCCTCTGTTGATAGGTATTTGGGCTGTTTCCAGCTTTTGGCTAATGAGAATATTGTTCTATGAACACTGGCAAACAAGTATTGGACTCTCTGTTTTTACTGCTTTAAGGTATATGGCTAGAAGTGGAATTTCTGGGTCATATCATATTAAATATTTAAAACTTTGAAGAACTGCCAAACTGTTTCCACAGTGAATGTGCAATTTTATATTTAAAGCAGCAGTGTATAAGGGTTCCAATTTCTCCACATCCTTGCTATGCTTGCTATTTTCTACATTTTTGGTTATAGCTATACTAATAGGATGTGGTATCTCATTGTGGTTTTGAGTTATATTTCCCTAAAAGCAAATATGTTCAGCATCTTTTCTTGTCTATTTAATTCCTTAGTAAACTTTTAAAATTAGTTGCTTATCTTTTTGAGTTGTAGGAGTTCTTTATAGATTACAGATATTTAAATCCTTATCAAATGATTTGAAAATATTTTTATCCATTTGTTAGATTGTCTTTTCACTTTGTTGACAATGTCTTTTGCAGCACAAAAGGTTTTGATTTTGATGAAGTCCAATTTATCTAATTTTTCTTTCATTGTTTGTGCTTCTGGTGTCATATCTAAGAATCCATTGACAAATCCAAGGCCAAAAGGATTTATGTTTCATGTTTTCTTCTAAGATCTTTATGGCGTTAGCTATTATAAGATTAAGGATCCATTTTCACTTAGATGAGATACTTGTTAAATTACTTGAAAGAACTTGAGAAGGACTGGCACTAATTCTTCTCTAAATGTTTAGTAGAATTCACCATTGAATTCTGGTCCTGAGCTTCTCTTTGCTGAAAAATTTGATTGCTGATTGATATGTTTACTTGTTACCGTTCCCTTGAATTTTTGTGTTTCTTTCGAGTCATTTAGATAATTTGTTTCTATGTCTCACTTGTTAATTTATAACTGCTAATAGCATGCTCTGATAACCCATTTTTGTAAGGGCAGTAGTAATATCCCCACTTTAATTTCTGATTCTAGTTATTTGTGTCTTTATTTTTTGTCAGTCTACCTAAAAGTGTGCCCATTTTGTGAATTTTTTCAAAGAAATAACTTACAGTTTCATTGATTCTCTTATTGTTTTTCTAGTCTCTATTTAATTTACCTCCATCTTCAAACTTATTACTTTTTTCCTTGTGTGAGGTTTGGATTTAGTTTTCTTCTTAAAATATAAAGGGAGACTATTGATTATAGTTCTTCTTTTTAATGTAGACATTCACAGGTATAAATTCTCCTTTGAGCATGATTTTTGCTGTATCTCATAAGTTTAACCATGTTTCAATTTTCATTCATCTTGAAGTATTTTCTAATTTCTTTGATGATCTTGGTGATTTGTTTTCTGACTTACTTGTTAAGAGTGAATTGTTTAATTTCAATATATTAGTGAACTTTCCACTTTTCCTTCTATAACTGATTTCTTTAGCTGTACTCCATTTGGACCAGAGACAATAGTTTTTGTGGTTTTATGATTGTAATATTTCTTCCCTTCACCTCCTTTTTGTTGTGCTGGGAATCAAACCCAGGGCCTCGCATGCTAGCCAAAGGTTTGATCATTGAGCTTTACCTCCTGTCTTTCAATATTTTATTTTTATTTTATTTTATTTGGTACCGAGAATTGAACTCACAACCTCACGCGTGCCAGGCAGGTACCTACACCACTGAGCTAAATCCCCAGCCCCATCAATCTTTTAAAATTTACTAACAAGATTTGTTTTGGTCTAATATGTGGTCTATCCTGGGAAATGTTCCATATGTACTTGAGAATATTGTATAATCTGCTGTTCAAAGTATAATATTCTATGCATGTCTGTTAGGTATAGTTGATTTATACTACTCAAGCTCTTTACTTGCTTACTATTCTTCTGTTTAATTGATTTATCTATTTTTGAAATAGTAGAGTGATATTTCCAACTATTATTATAGAACTATTTCTTCAATTCTGCCATTGTTTTATATATTTTGAGGCTCTGTTACTTGGTACATATGTTTATAATTATCTTCTCAATGAATTGGTCATTTTATCAGTATATAATGTCTTTGTCTTTTATAACTCTGTGTTACACAAGTTCTACCTTGTATAACATTAGTAAGTCACTCCAACTTTTTGGTTATCATTTGCATGGACTATTTTATTCCTACCCTTTTATTTTCAACTTAATTGACTCTTTGGATCTAAAGTGAGACCCCAGTAAAAAAAGATAGAGTTATATCACTTTTTAAAAAAATTTATTTTGTCATTTTTTGCCTTTTGATTGGAGACATCATTTATATTTAATTTGTTTGTTGATAAGGAAGGATTTCTGTCATTTTTGTTTTCTCTTTATTTCTCTAATATTGTTTTAAATAGTTAATTATTTCTCGTGAATTATTTTGGCTCTTTACACATTTCTATTTGTACAATTTTAAACATGTCTTTATAGGTACTATGCAGATTAAATTTAACATTCTAATTATATTAAAGTTTGAAATGATAGCAAAGGGTAAATAAAGAACAAAATGGAGAATAGCTACAATACCATATAAAATAAAGTTCTTATTCACTTCCATTTCCTTCTTTATATTGTTGCTATAACAAATTACATATTTATACATTGTGTGCTAATAACAGATTTAAAATTATTTTTATGTACTTCTTTTTAACTTTGTAAGAAATAGTGAAGTCACAAGCCAAAAACATAATAAAACTTGCTTTTTTTTGATCTAACTATTCTCCTTCTAGGTATCTTCCCAAAAGAGTTAAAACATAATACCTAAGTGTTATATGCAAATCCATGTTTGTAGCAGCACAATTTATAATAGCTAAATTTTGGGAATAGCTTGTATGCACATCAATGGATGAATGGATAAAGAAAATGTGGTTTTTATATACAATGGAGCACTACTCTTCCATAAGAAGGATAAACTTGAGACATTTTTTAGGTAAATGGATGTACCTCAAGACCATAATTTTAAGTGAAATACGTGAGATACACAAATTTAAATATTGCATTGGTTCTTTTGTGTGAGAAACTCAAAGGATAAATAAGGAACAAAATGGAGGATAGCTATTGGGAAGTAGGAAGAACATGTTTAACTAGGAAGCGGAACAAGGGAGGGACAAAGAGGAAGGGAAGGAAAGGAAAGGAATTAAAAAAGAGAATGGAAGAAAAAATAAAAACAAAGCTTTTGTAAACGTGGAGGGGAAGTAGGGTGGAAGGGAAGGGAGAGGGATGGGAAAAAAGAATCACATACATCACGTACAGGTACAAATTCCCTGTGATAAATGTGATCATTATGTATGGCAAACATGTACCAATAAAGAAAATATCATGCTTTTTATATTTCTCCATATTGTTTTCTTTAGAGGTTTTTTTTTTGGGGGGGGTACTAGGGATTAAACCCAAGGCTGTGTGCATATTAGGCAAGTCTTCTCACATTGAGCTACATTCTCCAGCCTTTTTATTTTGAGACAGAGTCTATTAAGTTGCCCAGCTGCCCTTGAGCTTGTGATCCTTCTGCCTCAGCCTCCCAAGTAGCTGGCATTTTACGTGTGTGCCATCACAGCTAGATAGAGATTTTTACTTCTTCATACAGTTTCAAATGACTGTCTAGTGTGTTTTCATGTCAACTTGAAGGACTCCTTTCAGTATTTCTTCTAGGGCAGGCCTGGTGGTAACAGATACCCTCAACTTTCTTTTTCTTTCTGGGAATGCTTCATTCAATTTTCAAGAATAATTGTGGATATAGCATTTTTGCTTGATAGGTTTTTCTTTCAGCACTTTGAATATGTCATCTCACTGCCTTGTAGCATCCATGGTTTCTCATGAGAAACCAGCTGTTAATCTTGTTGATAAGCCCTTGTATGTTATGAATTGCTTCTTTCTTGCTGCTTTCATGATTGTTTCTTTGTCTTTAGCTATTAATAGTCTGATTATAATATGTCTTGGCATTGATGCCTTATAGTGTTTTTAAGCAGTACCTCACAGTTCTCTGGCCTGGATGAGTTTACAATTATTTTATCTTCTCAGTGAATTGGTTCTTTTATCAGTATACAATGTCTTTGTCTTTTGTAACAGTTTAAGTTTAGATATAACAGGAATGAGTGCCTGAGATCTGCCATTTACATAGCTCTGACAAGCTAGACCAGAGCAATATGATAACTTTTTAATCTATTTTTATGTTTATCAGTACATGTTTGCAGCACTTAATAATTATTCATTGTGGGGAGTTGGTACATGCACACATCTTAAGTCTTTTTATGTCCCCTCTCTATCCTCTCTATAGAATAAGTTTTCAGTAGTCTGGTAAGTCCCTCTGGAACTATAGGCCAGAGTCCCACACTAGGAACACCGGCTGCTCTCTTTAACATCATTGGAAGGCAGAATAGGTATAGGACAGGGGCAAGTAGAGAATGCCACAATACTGCCCAGTCATTTAAAAAGATTAGACATCTTTTTATTCCTACCCTGAGCTGTTTTCTTCTTTTAATACTTAATCCTAGCAGGCATTACATAGGCCAGGATCATATGATGCAAATTTAGATCTGACCCTGAACTTTTATTAATTTAACTTGTTTTTTGATCAAAGAAGTAGTTTAATAAAATGCACAGAGTTTACAAAGTGAAAGAATAACCAAGACTTAAAATGACACACACTAGTTCTCTACCTTACCCCTTCCGGGTTCCAATTTCCACTTTCCAGAAAAAGCCATATTCCAGTATTTTTGCTGCTGCTTATAGAATTTCCCTCAATATGTCTGAATAATGTAATAAAGATTTTAGTTTTTTTTCCTTTTTTTGTAGTGGGAATTAAACTTACTGCCTTGCTCTTGCCAGGCAGATGCTATACCACTAAGCTATATCCCTGGTCCCTAGTTTTCGATTTTTAATATGCTCTAGCAACTTCCTCTCATGGAAGCTTAGGATTCAGTGTTCCCACAATCTTTCACATCTAGTTCCTGCATAGCTCACCTTGTCTTATTCTTCCGATTAAATTATCCTATAGTATTTGGTTAAATTTATATTAAATGATGATAACAACAAATACTGTTCACAGGTGAGCCATGTATTATATTATGACAACTTTTTCTTCATTGGACAATTGTGTGCTACAATGACTGATGCACCTTGGAAATGTTGCATAGCTTTCTGTGCACTTACCAGTACCTCCTACCATATTCCTTGATGGGACTGTAATAGTTCTGTCGGTATTAATCATGTGAGGCAACCTGTGACTTCCAGCTTTGCCTTAGAGACTCCCCCTGGAGCCTTCTGATCTGGACTATCTACTTCTGGACCTACTGCAGTGCTGTATTGGGAGTATTCTCTTCACAATCACCTTAACAAATCTGCTGCTCTCATCTGCACTGGGTCCTCTGTTTTCTATATCTTTGGCTTTCCTAGCTTATTATGTTCATTTTGGGGGACACGTACTCCCAAATTTCCTTTCTTTGCAAGTCTGAAAATGTCTGTCTCTCTTCCTCCTCCTTTACTTCTTCTTTCTCCTTTTTTTTGAGATGGGGGATCTTACTATATTGCCCAACATGGCCTTGAACTACTGTGTCCAAGGTGCCCTTCTGCTTCGGCCTCCTATGCAGCTGGGCCTAAAAGGTACACCAGTATGCCTGGCTTGAAAATATCTGTCTTCTATCTTTAAAATTGATTAGTAGTAGGACTCGATATATAATTCAAAATTCAAAATCATTTTTCCTTTAGAATGTTAAAGGAACTATTTTAGTGTCTTCAATATTTCAATACTGTCATGAAATAGGGAGAGAATGTTCAAATGGGAAGAGGAACTAAGGAGGGAAGAGGGGGAAAGCAACAAATGGAAAAGAAAAGGAAAACAAGAAAAGAAGGAAAAATGGAAACAAAGTTTTTATAAATAGGGAAGGGAAGGGGGTTGAAGGGAGGATAGGGAAACAGAAACAAGACACAAGATATGTGTATAGGTACAAATTCTCTATGATGAATGTAATCATTATGTATAACTAAAATGTATCAATAAACTTTATTTAAAAAGCTTTCAATACTGTTAGTGAGAAGTCCAATGTCATTCTGATTTCTAAAGCTTTCTATGTGACCTGTATCAAAGTCTTGTGATCATATAGCTTAAGATTTTTTTTTCTTCACAGGCCCTATCTGTGTGGCAAGTTGTATTCTCAGGTTTTGAGATTTTCTTTTTTTATTTTTTTCTCTTTTTCAGGAATTCTTTTTGTTGTTGTTTTTGTTTTTTTGAGACAAGGTTTCATTCTGTAGTCCAAGCTGACCTTGAACTCACTGTGGTAGCCCAGGCTAGCCCCGAACTCATGGCGGTCTTCTGCCTCAGCCTCCTGAGTGCTGAGATTACAGGTATGCGCCACAATATTCGGCTCATTTTTAGGAATTCTTATGGCTACTGAACCTCATAGGTTTGTTCTGTTTCTCACCTTTTTTTTTCTTTCTTTTCTCATCACCCTACCTTTAAATTCTATTTAATTAGAGATTTCTAAAACATATCTCCCAACTCCTTTTTAATTAAAAAAAACCCACTGTAACCAATTTTAAGCATATGCAGTAGTTCAGGGGTATCAAATACATTCACAACTCTGAAAAGCTATCACTGCTCACTATTTCCAGAGTGTTTTCATCATCTCAAACAGAAATTCTGTACCTATCAAGAACTAAATCTTGGGCCTAGGGATATGGCTCAGCGACACAGTGACTCTTTGGCAAATGCAAGGTCCTGAGTTCAATTTCTGGCACCCAAAGACAAAACAAAACAAACAAGAACCCCTAAATCTCCAATCCTTCTTTTTCTCAGCTATTGGTAATCTATAATTTTTTGTTTCCATAAATTTTCCTATTGGAGATAGTTCACACAGGTGGAATCAAACAATATTTGCCCTTTTGCATCTAGCTTATTTCAGTTGGCATAGTGTTTTAAAGGTTCATCTCTGTGTAGCATATATCAAGTGCATTTACTTTAAGGCTGAACAATACTTCATTGTATGACTACCACAAATTTTGTTAATCCATTTATTTGTCAATGGGCATTTGGGTATTGTTCACCTTTTGACTATTTTGAGTAACACTGTAATGAACATTGGTACATCACTTTCAAGTACATATCTAGGAGTGGAAATGCTGGATCATAAAACAGTTCTATGTTTAACTTTTTTGGTGTGATGGATTGAATCCAAGGTCTTTGCACTGAGCAGCCATAATCTTTTTATTTATTTATTTTTTGAGCCAAGGTCTCAATAAGTCACTAAATTACCCAGGCTAAGCTCAAACTTGCAATCTTCCTGCGTCATTCTCCCAGAGTGCTGGAGTTACAAATATGCACCACCATGCCTGACTTATGTTTAACTTTTTGGGAAACTGCCAAGCTGTTTTCCACAGCAGCTGTACCATTTAAAAAGCATAGAATCCTAATTTATGTACATAAGCACCAGTACTTGTTATTTTCCTCTTTTAAAAGACAGTAGACATCATAGTGGGCACAAAGTGGTATTTTACTGTGGTTTCTACACGTTTCTACCCTGACTTTTTCTTGACTTGGAATTCATTAAGTTACTGTAAACCTCTGGTTGTTTTCCAGAGTTCTTAGTAATTGTTTCTGACTGTTTATGTTTATTTTTCTATATTTCTCTGTAGTGACATGACCTTGGAGTTGCCTTCTCACCCATTTTCTGATACTGTTTACCTTTATGTTCCATGGACACTTGAAACAAATGTGGATTCTTGCTATAGGGTAGAATACTCTGTAATTGTTAGTTTGACTTTCTTGGCTAATAGTTGTGGTATCCTTCATGTTTCTTAATTTTTTAAATGTTCTAATTCACAATAGAACAGTTAAAATAACTTCTTCCTAAAGAGTATCTGAACTGAAGATATCTCTGGGAAGAATGTAAGCAGGAGTTCTCATGGTTTTCTTAGTCTGACATCTTTTAATCCTCGAATCACCTCTTTGCTTCATCTCTCACCATCCCCACTGATGTTCTACAGACATAGTAAAACTATTTATAGTTCCACAAATCTCTGTATTATTTTACTCATCTGTGTCTTTGTGTATGCAATCCCAGTTTTGAAATACCCTTTACTTTGCATACTTTTACAGATTCGCCTTAAGGATTACCCCTTTTGAAAAGCTTTTCCTGATTGCCTAAGGCAAAATAAGTTTACCTTTTTTGATGGCTGATTTACCCTGAAACTCATCATACACCTTCACAGCTCCTCACTGAACAGACAACATTCAAGGTCCTGGGAGGGGGCTACTATTTATTTTTTTTAAAAAAAGATTAAAACATAATTATCCAAGTAAAATACTTAATTAAGCACATTTGATCGAGATTGCTGTGTTCCAGCTGGGTTTCCTCTGGACTTCTGCTTTGTGTTAGGCATCACTGGAGTGACAAAAAGGAAGGTGAATTGAGAATACATTTAGTTTGTGTTTAGTGGGACATGTGGTTTTTAGTCACTTATTTTGAATAATTAATTTAATGCTGATGGTATAGGAATGGCTTCAATTATGTTCCCATAACCCAATGTCCTTTGTTGGGGGATGGTATGACACGAATGTGCCCTATAGTACTTGGTCTTAGACAATGGATAGTAGAAAAGAGACAATTTAAATGTACAAAGTTCAGTGTTAGTCTGTGTAAAATTATTCCACAAGTGGAGAATTTGCCTTTGAGTGATGTCTAATTAAAATGAAAGTTTTGTCTTAAAAATACTGTATGGTCAGCTGGGTATGATAGTGCACATCTGTAATCCTAAAAGTTTGAGAGGGTGGGGCAGGAAAATCATGAGTTTGAGCCAAACCTGGACAACTACAAGTAATTTAGTGAAACCTTACCTCAAATAAATAAATAAAGCTGGGGATATATCTTAGTACAAAGGTCCTGGGTTTAATTCTCAGTACTACAAAAAATTCTGTATATATATGATATATACACATACATATGTATACACACATTTACATATACTCAATAATGTAGCATGAATAATTATTTATGAATCATACTTTTTTCATTTTTTAATGAAATATAAAATAGTATTTATTGTAATTCTTGTTTTGAGGGGCCCAAATCACCTAGCAATGAGACAGTGAGTACAGCTGTATATACAGTTATGTTTTATGCAGCTCATCTGTTATAGATTGAATTCTGCAGCCCCCAAATTCATGTGTTGCAGCTCTAACCCACAATGTGACTGTTTTAGATATAGTGTTTGGGAAGCACTTCAGTATAAATGAGGTCATAATGATAGGATCCTAATCCAATAGGACTGGAGGCATTATAAGAAGAGGAAGAAAACAAGAGAAGGGTGTCTGCTATCATCACTCCTGTTCAATACACTTCTTGAAAGATTAGCCAGAGCAATTACAAAGAGAAACAAATAAAAGGGATGTGGATAGGAAAGGAAGAAGTTAAATTACTATTATTTGATCCTGTACGTAGAAGAACCTAAAACCGCCACAAAAGACTGCTATAATTAGTAACCAAATTTAGTAGTATAGCAGGATACAAAGTCAACACTCAAATATCGGTGTACACCAATAACAAATTCACCAAGAGAGAAATTAGGGAAACAACACCTTTTACAATAGCATAAACAAAAATGAAATACTTAGGAATTAACTTAGCCAAGAAAGTTAAAGACCTCTACAGTGAAAACTACAGTACTCTTAAAAAGAGATTAAAAAGCACATCAGAAAATGGAAAGATATCCCCTGTTCCTGGATAGGTAGAATCAGTATACTCAAAACGGCTATACTTACAAAAATTTTATATAGATTTAATGCAATCTCAATCAAAATATCAATAGCATTCCTCACAGAACCAGAGAAGGCAATCGTAATATTCATATGGAACAAAAGAGACCTAGAATAGCAAAAGTAATTCTGAACAACAAGGGAGATGTTATGGTTCGTGTCTAGATGTCCCCCCATTCCCACAAAGCATCACACATAATCAGATGGGGCTTTTTCAGAGGCAGCTGAGTTTATGATTGATTCATAGTCAATGTTAGGATTAAGTGTGCTGGGAATTAGGGTGGATGATTGCTGGATTAGCCCACTGATTGGATTGGCACCTCCCTAATTCCAGCAGTCTAGATAAGATAAAGAAGGCAGAAAGAGGCTTGTATCACCCCCTCACTCCCTGTTTTGTCTTGTGCTTTTTGGTACCTTCCATTGCCAAGAGAGGTTGCTCCTCTGCCATACCACCCTGCCTTAAAGCCAGTTGATTATGGACTGAAACCTCTACAAACTGTGAGGTAAATAAACCTTTCTTCCTTTAACCTTAGGTGTTGGGGATTTTGTTTCAGCAACAAGATAAGAGAAACTAAGACAGGAGATGTCACAATTCTGGACTTCAAGTTATACTACAAAGCTACAGTAGTAAAAACAGGATATGTATTGGTTTAAAAAAAAGTCCTAGACTTATGGATCAGTGGAACAGGATAGAAGACACAGAAACAACTCCAGATACATTGAGCTACCCGATCTTTGAAAAAGGGTCAAAAACTTACATAGGAGGAAAGATAGTCTTTTTAACAAATGGCACTGGGATAATTGGCTATCTACAAGCCAAAGATTTAACCTAGACCCATCTCTCTCACTAATAAAATCAAAACTGATCAAATATTTAAACATTAAAGCTGGAATAATCTACCAGAATAAAAAATAGGCAAAACTCTTGAAGATATAGGTATAGGTAAAGACTTTGTGAACAGAACCCTGGTTGTATAAGAAATAATACCAAGAATCAACAAAATGGATCACAACAAACTAAAAAATTCCTGCTCAAAAAAAAATTCCTGCTCTTCAAAAGAAACCATCAAGAGAGTGAAGACACAACCTAGAGAATGGTAAAAAAGGTTTTGCCAGTTACTCCTTAGACAAAGTACTAACATCTAGAATATCTAAGGACTCAAAAAATCATATCCCTCCCAGCTTTAAAGACCCAATAAAAAATGAGCATCTGAAATGAATAGACACTTCTCAGATGAAGAATAATGGTCAATACATTTGGTCAATGGTCAAGACAAATGATCAATACATACATAAAAATTGTTCAACATTTCTAGCCATTTAAGAGATGCAAATGGAAACAACACTGAGATTCCATCTCACTCCAGGAAAAATGGCTGTTAGCAAGAAATGAGTCAATAACAAATGCTATACAGGCTGTGAGGGGGAAAAGGTACCCTTTAACTCTATTGGTGGGAATGGAAACTAGTAAAACCACTTTGGCAATTAATATGAAGCATCCTTAGACTAAACCTAGAAATTTCATTGTTGTAAGTATTCCCCTTCTAGGTATCTCCCTGAGTTAAAAACCTTGTATTATGATACATACATTATCATAATTATATCAGCACACTTCAGAATAGGCTAGATTGTGGCCTATATATCCATCAACAAGTGAATGGAGTCAAGGATACAGCTCAGTGGCTCACAAGCATGAGGTCCTGAGTTTGACTCCTAACATCCCCCAAAACAAAAAACAAATGAAAAAATCAAGTGAATGAATAAAGAAAATATAGTATTTATACACAATGGAGCACTACTCCATAATAAAGAAGGATAAAGTTGAGTCATTCATAGGAAAATGAATGCACCTTGAGACCATAATGCTAAGTGAAATAAATTAGACACACAAGTTTAAATATCACATTATATGAGGAACCTAAACTATAAATAAAGAGCAAAATAAAAGACAAATAAATAAGAATCAGTAGATTTTTTTTCCTAAAGGGAAGGGAACAAAGAAATGGAGGGAGCACAAATGCTGGGGAGGGGAAAGGGATAAGTAAATGAACTGAGAAATGTTATGTACATTTACCAACTTTTCACAACATATGTAATCATTACATACTTCAAATATACACTAATAAAAAAGTAAAAGCTGAAAAGAAGTCATGTTGAAATTTAATTGCTTTTGTAACAGTATTAATTATGGACCATTAAGACATGAACATCATAGGTGTGTTTTCCTGATGGAAAGGATGAATTAGGCATGATAATTTTCTCTCAGTCTTGTTTGTGTTCACTGAAATTTCTGCCATGTTATCTAGTACAATAACCCTTACCAGAGGCTGTTTCCGTGCTCTGGATGTCTCAGCCTCCATAACTATGAGCCAAATAAATGTTTATAGATGATGAAGTCTATAGTATTGTATTATGGCAACAGAAAGCTAGTTAAACAGGGATGCACTGAATTGTCTTCTTATTCTTTATGTAGAAATATTGCAAATTCATTGTCAAGTGTAGAGGTGATTAAAGCATATGCAGCCAGAAATCACGAAGCAGCACTACAGATGTTTCATGCAAATAATGAAACATAAGTCAGAATTGTTTTGGACTTTATTATGTTTGTAGCATCTTTTAGGCTTTTAAAATTCATAAATTATTGCAGTTTCTTTTCTCATTCTAAATATTCACTTGTGAAAAGAAAACCCACAGAGTGGGAAAAAAATTTAACCAACTGTCCCTCAGACAAAGGACTACTATCGAGAACATACAAAGCACTGAAAAAAATTAAAAACCCCCTGTCCAATTCAAAGACCTAATCCAAAACTGGGCATCTGAGATGAATACATACTTCTCAGATGAAGAAATCAAATGACAAATAAATACATGAATACATGTTCAACATCATTGGTCATTCAAGAAATGCAAATTAAAACAACAAAGATTCCATCTCATGCGAGAAAGAATGGCTATCATAAAAAAATCAATCAATAACAAATGTTGGTAGGGTTTTGGGGAAAAAGGAACCTTTCTCTACTGTTGGTGGGAGTGTAGACTGGTAAAACCATTGTAGAAATGAGTGTGGAGATTTCTCACAAAACTAGGATAAGTGATCCCATATAACTCAACTATTTCTCTTCTGAGTATTTTCCCAGATGAATTAAAAACATCATACCACAGTGATATATATGCACCCATGTTTATAGCAGCACAATTTGTAATAGTTAAATCCTGGAAACAACGGACTTCCAGGAGAACATGGTGGATAGATAGCAGCAGCTTCGGAGGGTCTCTGAGAAACTGCACTTAAAATCCAGGAATGGTGCCAGGCAAGAAATCCTAAGCAAGGGGAGATATACTTTACCGACCCAGAACGAACTAAACTAAGAGAAACCAACTAGAAACTCAATCCTGGTGATATAACAGGAACAGATAAGGTCTCAGCGTGGAAGCTGGACCCTGAGCCACTGGAAGCTGCGGTTTGAATTTCCTGCAGCTGCTGCTCTGTCCCAATCAGCACGGCAAGGAGAGAGGTGCGAAAGCTCTGAGAGTGGGAAGCGGTGAATGGAATTGAGAGCAGGACTGGCCAGGAGGCCCACATCGAACTGCGGTGAGTGAGTGGATCGGGGACTGTTCCATAGAGTAGGAGGCTTCAGCAAAGGACATACTGGGACTGGGCAGACTAGCCAGAACAAGTTGTTGCAGTGACTTCAGTCACATATTCCCCTCTCAAGTGGGATTGGTGGGGAGTGCCTGGCTTGCGTGATGCCGCTGACTAAGACCCAGTAGGCTAGCCCAAACCAGGTCCCAGTGCCTGGAGGTTCACCCTAGTGGTGAAGCCTTCAGTAGGTTGACCTGGAGGGGCGGGTCCAGCATAGGTCTGTGTCTGCCTAGTACACTGCAGTGGGTGGGAACACCTAGCTGGCGCAATTCAAACAAACTGTAACCAACAAAGAAAGAAACTGGGCCTCCTATATTTGCTTGTAGAAGAGGAACAAAAAATATGGGAAGAGGGAGCAACAAGAAAGGGTCCTCAGCCCCTAATTCTGAGAAACATGCAATATCAGACACAACAACAATAGACATAAAGCGCTATCTCCAGAGCCTCATAGACAAGTTCAGGAATGAAGTTATTAATGACCTGAAGCAAGATATAAGTAGAATAGTTAGAGAAATGCTAAACACTGCCCAAGAAAAAACAGATGGTGAAATGGAAGAACAGAAAAAAGGGGAGAATTGTTTGATGGAGAAAATAGAGAAAACATAGAATACCCAAAGCAGGTTCAAAGAGATTACCAGGAAACTAAAAACTCTATCGAAAACTGGCATAACAGCTTGAAAGAAACTAAGGATAGATTATCTGAACTGGAGGGCAGATTTGTAATGTGGGAGCATGAAATGAAAAACTTCTTAAAAATAACAACAACAAAAAAAAAAACCAAACAGCAACAATACAAAGGCTAGAAGACGATAAGAGGATCTATAACTTAAGAATTAAGAACGTAAAAGAAGAAGTAGGGACACAAACAAATGGACTACAAAGCTATTCACAGAAATAATCCAAGAGAATTTCCCTAATTTAGCAAATGGTAAAGATACTCAGATGTACGAGGCATATAGGACCCCAGCCACCTACAACCCAAACAGAACTACACCCAGGCATATAATAATCAAAATTTCAGAAATCCAATATAAGAACAGAATATTAAAAGCCATCAGAGACAAGAAACAGATCACTTACAAGGGAACACCCATCAGAATTACAGCAGACTTCTCTGCACAAACCATCAAATCAGAAAGAGTAGGGGGGAAATAATTCAAGCTTTGAAAGATAATAACCTCCAGCCAAGATTGATATATCCTGCACAACTGTCCCTAGAAATTGATGGAAAAACAAGGTGCTTCCAGGATAAAGAGGAACTAGGGGAATTTGCAACCATCAATTCAACTTTACAGAGAATACTGCAGGACATTCTAAAAAAGGAAAATACCAACATTTCAGAAATGGTGGCAGAGAGGCCACAATGAATGGAGCAGAAAGTGAAATGAAGAAGACAAACTGACAACAAATGACAGAAAAAGAGCTCAACAGAAATGAGGCAGAGAAGATTGGATGGTAGGAACAGCTATTTTGGAGAAAACAAGACATCATAATAGCTAGTGCTGATTTAGTATCATCTTGTCTTGAAGTCCCATCAAACTTGTATTCTTCTGTCTCCATCGGTCTTAACATATTGTATCTTATTGGATTTTATTATATATGATAATATAAGCAAAAACTTTTATAGACAAGGAGATTATACAGACACCATTGTTCATTTTCTGATAGTTGGTTCTAAATACCCTGTAATACTGTCATTCTCTTGAATGGTTTTACATTGTCTTGATATGTTTGGTGCTACAGTATATGAAATTATACTCAAATATTTCAAGGAAAGAGACACTATGGTAACTACTTTTATGTCAGGATATCTTGTGGTAAAACACTATTTTGCTCAAATGGTTATGTTTTGACCAGTGCTGTTCTGTTGTTAAGCCCTCTTTTATCTCAATCCCCTTTTTTTGAATTCTTTACTTTTTTTCTTTTTATTTTTTAATTAAGGGAAAATAAATAAAAATAGCAGGATACATTATAGTAACCTACTTTGATTTCTTATTAACTTGATTTGAAATCCTGTATTGCCCTAACCATCTTGTTTTGACTGATTTTCCCCTATTCTGCTTTCCTTTGATAGTACCAAGTTTGAAAGTATAGGCAAAACTGTGAAGACAATAAGATTCATTATGACGCCCATTCTGGTTGACTATTATCTTCTTTTAAAGTCCTGTAATGTCTCCAATGCTTTGGTTTTATTCTTTACTGTTTAGTTCAATTTTATTATAACTGCCAATTCTTCTTAAAATAGCAAGAGGCAGTATGGGAACCACTGTTGATCACCTTATACTTTGTGTTTACATTATCTATTATGTCCATCCTTTTGATTTGACTGACTCCGTTCTGATATGTTGCATTTGGTTTTACTCTCTTCAGAAAAAGTAATAAGAACTGTGGGAGTAATAAAATCCAAAATGTGAAATTGTCATTGTACAAAAGAAAAGAAAAGAAAATGTTCTAAAGGTTATAACTGCATATATGTTTAAATGTATAAGATAGATAACCATACTACTGAGTTTTTTTGATCATTGAACAAAACTGTTTGCACTCTCACTGTTTGAAAGTCCAATTTATATGCTTCAATTTTGTAACTTGAACAACTATTTCTAAGATGAGAATATGTAATCTATTAACTAGTGATTTCTTACTGTTTACTTTTTAAATTGTGTATTAATTGTACCCTTTTTCTGTTTTTTTTCTCCTTAAATAAAAAAAAGAAAAAAATCTTGGAAACAACACTAATGCCTATCAACTGAGCAAAGGATTAAAAAGACGTAGTATTATTATGTAATGGAGTACTAGTTAGTTATAAAGAAGGATAAGGTCAAAGCTTTTACACATAAATGGATGCAACTAGAGTCCATACTCATAAGTGAAATAAACCAGACCCACATGTGTAAACACCATATTGTCTCTCTTGTGTAAGAAGTTGAAAAAGTAAATAAAACCCAAAATCTACAACAGCTAATGTGAAAGAGAAAGAAACAGCTTGTAAGTGAAGAACTGGGATGGGTTGAAGCAAGCCCCACCGCCAGACTGGGAAAAGCCAGACCCAAGCATTTCCCCATGAATCTTCACCATTCACAGACTTTAGGGAGAAAGAATAAGGCCACACTAGCAAGCAAGCTGCCTCTGGGAATTAGCACCACGTGTGGGCCACTACACCCCAGTTTTTCCTCGTTAGTCAGTGACATTCTCGGACTGTGTAGAGAAAGAACAAGGTCACACCAGGAACAAGCCCCATCTGGGAATCAGCACCATGCATGGGCCACTGGCAGACTGGGACAGCCAGACTCCAGCCCCTTCTGGTGCATGGGCTGGTAAACAAGAAGCACCAATCCCTGCCCCTAGCCCCATAAGCAACATGCTTATCTGAAGAAACACAGACGGTGACGATAGCTATAGAAGTAAAATGCAATTGGATGCCTGTAGTGCTTAGGTGTTTCACTGACCTTCCAAGTCTAGGGCCAGTGGTCTGATCACTGGTTCAGAGAATAGTGGTATACAATGTGGCATCTAGGGAGGATCTCTTTCTGAGGGTTGCAGCCATTGTTGATTCCCTATGGTCTTGTTTTAGAAGTCCTATATCATTTTCATTGTTTCATTGGGTTGAGTTTTATTCTCTTTTGTTTTGTTTGATTGTTTTAAAATCTGATGGCAGGAGCAGCTGTTTCAAAGATAGCAAGAAATATTGTGGTAGCAATTTTGGACTTACTATTGGCTTGTTTTGAAGTTCTTTATTGCATTTATTGTTTTGTTTTTATTGTTTCTATTCTGTTCCGTTCAGTTCAGTTTGATTTTTACTATGTTCAAAAGTATCTTCTGCTATTTTGAAGACAAAAAAAGGCATTATGGTAACTATTGTTTGATTTTGTAATGTTATGAAGCCCTGTATCACTTACACTGGTTTGTTTGGTTTTATTTTGTTTTATTATCCTTGGTTTTATCTATAAAATTTAAAAAAGACTGGATTGGGTGAAAGGATAAAAGAAGAAAGAGAAAAGGAAAAAATATATATACATACACAAAAGATAGCTAAGATAATTATACTACTGATTTCTCTTAGTTCATTGAAAAAATGGTTTGTGTTTATATTGTTTGATCAATTATGCATATGTATGGAATAAAAACTGGTGGTCAACTTAAAAACATCTGAATTAAATCAGCATGGTGCTGAGTGTAGATGGCCCACCTGAGGAAAGTTGCCAGAATAAATAGAGACATGGAGAAGAGCTAGGCCTTGTGGGTTCTCCTAAATGGTGCTGCTTGGAGCTGTTCTTGGAGCTGGTTCTTCTCGAGGAGCTCGTCATGATTAGCTTCCCCAATATGAGTCTGACCATTGTCATCAGAGGAGCTCGGGACCTTGGTGAGAGTGACTCTGGTTCACTTTAGGGAAGCTCTGGTGCTTACATCGAGCATCGCTTCCTGGCTCCAGAAGGGAAGATGTGTTCTGTGTAATCTCCAGGAAAAGCTTGTCATACTGGGTTTCTGGCATGTACTCAACTGTGCTTATTGTCAGAGGAGCTCAGGACCTCTGTGTCACTGAGGATGACTTTAGTACTTTTCTGGGCAGCCGCAGTTCTTATTTTGAACATGACTTCTCAGCTCTAGTGTAGAACCCTCATCCCACCAGCACAGCTCCTTCACCCCACTGGCATAGACTTTCTAGCTTCCACCACTGACCTTTGGGCCTTCCCAGCACAGATCCACAAAACAGACCAGCATGAGTCCCTTTTGTGGATTTTAGACCCCCAGTTGGACTCATGGGAGACACTGTCATGGGCTCTAGGTCTTCATCTGGACTCATGCAGGACATTGTTGTGGGATCCAGGCCCTTGGTTGAATATTCTGGGTCTTTAGTGTTGTACAGATTTCCTGCACTTTGTGTTTAACTCTGGGTGACCATCATAAAATAATATTATAAACACTGTGTCCTGATTCTAATTTTTCTCCTCACAACCCCTGACTACAACAGAAGTTGGTATCAGGAGAGTGGGGTCATTGCTGTGTTGTTCCCTGGTCATGTGGCTTAAGAGTCTTGGAAATTAATTTGGAAAGTTTTTGAGAGATGCTCAAGAGACAGCCTCTCTATGCTGTAGACCATATTGGGGACTCTGGTTAGAGCCTGGAAAATCAGAGACTGATGGGAATGCTGCTGGTTAAGATGAAGTTCGGGAGCCTTCTGTAGAGAAGAACTGCATCAGCTGCTGGAGTCCAGGTAGTATATCGTGCTTTGGTAGAAAGTTGTTCTGCATTTTGTTTATGTTTAGAGAGACTACCTGGTGGCAGGAAATTTTCAGTGTAGTCTACAGTTGGGATGGTAGCACAGTTATCTGAAGAACTTTTGACCAGATCTATGTTGTAAATTTAGAGCAAAGAGCCAGCAGAATAATTTAAAACATTTGGCCAGAAAAAAGGCTCCAGTGGAACTGCAGGTTGCAAAGATGAAACAGAGAACAACATAGTTGTTCAGAAGAGGATAATGGAAAAATGAACTGAATCTTTCACCTGAAGATAAGAGTATATTTGAATTACAGGAGATCCTTATATTTTAGTCTTGCCATACCACATTAAAAGATAATGGGCCAGACGTGGTGATTCATGCCTGTAATCCCAGCACTCGGGAGGCTAAGGCAGGAGGATCGTTGTGATGAGTTTGACTATATCATCAGAGGAACTCATAATCTTGTTGGTGAGAGTGGCTGTGGTTCACTTTGGGGGAAGCTCTGGTTGTTACATCAATGTGTGCTGTTTAATCTCCAGGAGAAACTTGTCATACTCGCTTTCTGGCATGTATTTGACTTTTCTTATTGTTAGAGGAGCTTGGGACCTCTGTGTGTGTCACTGAGGATGGCTGTGGTACTTTTCAGAGCAGTCCTGGTCCTTATTTTGAACATGACTTCTCAGCTCCAGTGTAGAACCCTCAACCTATCAGCATAGCTCCTTCACATAGACCTTCTAGTTTCTACTGCTGACTTTTAGGCCTTCCCAGTGCAGATCCATGAAACAAACTGGCATGAATCCTTCTTGTGGGTGCTAGACCTTCAATTAGACTCATGCAAGGCACTGTCATGGGCTCTAGGTTTTCGTCTGGACTCCTGCAGGACACTGCTGTGGGATCCAGGCCCCTGACTGAATATTCTGGGTCTTCAGTGCAGATTTCCTGCACTTTCTTGTGTTTAACTCTGGGTGACCATCATAAAGAAATAATGTAAATGCTGTGTCCTGATTCTAATTGTTCTCACAACCCCAGACTATAACAGCATGCCTATATCTCATAATCTGATCAACTACTTCGAAGATAATAATACACAATATATTAACCATTGTTAATCTCCCATTATCTTGTTTTTGAAATTCTGTATCTTTGTTTTTCTCTTTAAAATAAATATATATTCACTTGTACTTAATTTACTTCATAATTTTACATTCTTTTTCTTAAATATCTCCCCATCTCTCTATAACTACCCTAGTACAAGTCTATGAACATGAGTCAGCTGCTGTCCTCTGTAATAAAATTTAAGCCAATTGATCATATCTGCTCCCTTCCCCCCTCATATTATGAATCTTTCAAGAATAGAGATTGAGTCTCCAACTTTGCTTTTTAAGTGCCCGACAGAATGCTAACACATAGTGCATTAGTTGAACCTTTTATTAAATAAATGCTAACAAATGATTAGAAAAGATGAAAGATTTGTATGATCTGAAGAGAAACCAGAGTATTTAGAAAGAATAGAGGATTTATGTTAATTAGTTGAAGAAGTAAGTAGTCTGGAAGGTTAGCTTGGTGGAGTGGAAAGAAAAAACATGGAATCAAGGAAGGGAATAGTCAAAGTGACCAAAGAATGGTACTTTCTTTTTTAGAATGATTAACCTTTCCATCTAAAGTCACTTCAGGAAAAAAAAAAGGATGCACATAGACAAAATGAGTCTCAAAGGAAAATAATCCCCTTATTTCAAAATAGGAGTAACAGGGATCTCTCCTCAAGCCCAAGGGTCTTTGTTGATCTTCCCTTATTTCCTTCTGCTGCTTACGAAGTAGCTGTGGGACCCTGGTCAAACAATTAACTTCTTTGAAACAGTTTATTTTGTGGATGTAGATAAACAACCCTGTGGGTTATTTATGAGGGTTAAATGAAATAATGGCTGCAAAAATACATAGTAAAGTACTTGGCATATAGGAAGGGCTCAATAAATGTTACTTCGTTTGTTTTGTTTTATTATTTTTGTCAGTAAGATCTGCTAATTTCCTTTAAAAGTGGCAGAGTCTCCTTGCTTTCCTGTATCTTTGTTTTTCTGTTTTTTCCTCTGAGGATGTGTTTTCTTCCTCACCTCCTAAGTGGATCTCCATCACGGACTGTAAAGGGCACCAAAGAAACCTGTCTAAAGCCTCCTTGGGAAAATGAGGTCAGCTTCGTAGACCCTCAAAGCATTAGTCTTATCCCCAGTTCTTGAGGAACCATCCTAGTCCTTCCTCAATGGACATAGAGACAAGCTATAAAAATCCTACTTGGGAAATGCTCCTCAATCTTCTGGAAAGGTTAAAAAAAAGCCAATTAGATCCTAAAGCAAATTCTGCCAAAACTTTGCCAGGAGATGTCTGTGAGTCCTGGCTCTAATTGCTACCAATAGTATGCATGAGGGTTCATAACATACCCAAAACTGGGCTAAGTTTGATCCCATTTGAAATGCTATATGGGAGGCCATTTCCATCCTTTGATATGATAATAGACCCAGAGACCACAGGACTCTCATAATATCTCATAGGCCTGGGCAAAGTACAACAGGCTATCCAAATGTATAGGAACAGAGTCCTGTCAGCCCTTGGCCCAGGGGGATCATCTAGGCTCCTCTACCCTGGAGACCAAGTGTTCATAAAAATTGGATAGAGGGGACACCCACTGACCCATTAAAGCCAAAATGGATGGGTTCCTTTTCAGTGATCCTTGTCACACCCACTGCAGTAAAGGTAGCAGAGATAGGTAATTGGATTTATCTTTCTAGAATAAAGCCAGTGCCACGTGAACTATCTAAAGAACAAGATCATTCAAGAAGAGAAAGTTACTCTTGTAATTCTCTGGAAGACTTGAAATTTCTCTTCAAAAAGCAAGACTCCAGTGCTCCCTCAGGTAAGTAAATAGGATCTTGCTAAGGCCATGGCTCTCAGACTCTTGGTAATTTATCTTACATGCTTTTCTAATAAACATTCTTCTCTACAGGTAGTGTGTAATATGACCTGCTCTTCATATTTGGGCTAACAGTAAACCTTTTTTATTCTGTCAAATAGGTACCTCAATGGTCACTAACTCTTTTTTGATTGTTTTCTGACAAGTTTTTATTTCTTCAAATCCAGCCAGAGAGCCACAGCACCCCAAGGTAGTTGGAGAGAACATAATCTCCACTAGGTAGGGTCGCCAGCTCGTTGCAGCTGAAAGAAGCTATAAAAGACAGAGACCATCAATCCTTCAGCAGCCCATAAAGAATGATGGGATTTATATTTCAGTGGGAAACTAGATAAAGATAGGACATGGCTTAGACTGGCTGGGAGGACAGGTGTGGAGCAATCCTAAAATCTACATAGCACACTTTTCCAAACCTCCTATGTAAAAGTTCTCGAGAGTTCTTGTGAGGTGTGGATGCAATATAAGGTCACAGATGCCACGGAGAGCTTGCTACCATGCCCATTCCTTATGTAGCCCACCCTGTGTCCTTCAGAGTATACTTTTACTTTTCCTCTTTTGCTCCCAACTTCACTCTGCAGAACAAGTTTCTCCCTTACCCTTAATCCTAATACTTTTCACAAAAACTTTATCACTATTTTTGCTTGTCTTGTTCAATTCTTTTTGAGGATAGAAAACCTGGAAACCTAGAGGTGAGCACCCCAAACCCAGTAATGTTTGGCAAATTATTTCTGGAAGGAACTACCCAATAACAGTTTGGTAAACTGCAGGTGCCTTGTGGGTTTCCAATTTCCCTGTTTAGAAGGAGGTAAAATTCAAGTCGGAATTTGCTTCTGTGTGTTTGTGTGTGTCTACGTGTGTTGGAACAAAATATTGGAATGGGCACTAGTGCCTCATCTATTAACCAGTTGAGACTGAAGTTGAAAGTTGGTGCTCCCTGTCACAGTCACTTGCAGAAGCAATCAGCAACCCCGTTTTCTGTGTTGAAATTAGGGGTTGGAAGCTCTTTATTTCTGTTGCTTCCATTTTATGAACAGTTGACAGTGCCATCTATTATAGAAATTAGTTTCCCAAATAGGGTGCATTCATTTATTGTGAATGTACTAAGAAATTATTCTTGGTTTATAAAAATTGAGAAAAATTACATGAATGTAGAATATAATTTCTGGAAACTGACTTCTTTCCTTCTTTTGGATGTAAATGACCTGTGTTGATTTTTTATCATTACTACTTTTCTCTTCATTTTAGAGAAAAGTTTTTTTAAAAATATTCTGTCTAGAAGTAAACCTTTTGATCTGAGTGCTGGATTTTATCTCCTCTGAAACCTTCTGGCTTTAATTACATCCTTTCTTCAGTTAGCAAACCTGTGTAAGTCATTCGCCTTAAAATAAACACCTTCACTTGAACTTCCTACATCTTGGAATATTGTCTAGGAAAATAAAAGCAAAAAATAAAAAAAATGCCATTACCCCTTAAAATGACATTATCCCATTTTCTGCTACTTTCTTTCAACATAAATAATTAAAACTTGAGGCATAGCTTTCCAGGGAAGCTTTCCCTTAATCAAGTACTGTTAGTCATGGCATACACTACTACTGTTGTACTTAGCAATCTGAATGGGAATTTATCTATTTATTTTGTATTGTCACTTATTTCTTTGTATTTGTGTTACTCCTGCTAAACCACATGTTCCTAAAATGAGATAAATTGGCCTTTATTTCAGTGTTCCCAGAAAGGAACAGTCCATATGGGGGCCCCAATAAAGAGTGAATGCAAAAGAAGGGGAACGAGAGCTATGGGAGCATGGCCATGTGCCATTTTCCAGTGGGCTAGGTGTTGTTATACTTACTGTACAGATGGGAAAACAGAGATTTAGAGTTCAAGGAATTTGCCTAAAGTTATTTAACTATATCTGCTCAGAGCTGTAATTAAAGTCTGTCTGATTTCAAGTGTGCCCTTTCTGTTGTGCTGCCCTAACTATGTTATTTTCTTGAGTTCCACTGCTGGTACTATTAATTCTTTATGGTACCAGAAATTGAACTCAGGACCATACACTTGCCAGGCAGACACTTATGCCGCTGAGATATATCCCAAGCCCAACTACTACTACTACTACTATTGCTACTACCAATTCTTTTGTGCCTTCCCCACAATTTGCCTTCTTTGTTCTGTCATTATTGAAGAAAAGCATAGCATTGGAGGAGTTAGTATCACAGATCCATAGTTTCCAACTTTAGATGCATTTTCCAGGCTTCTTCACAATCCTTTCATTTATATCTGGTCAACTTCTCTCCCATTTTCCTCAATTACTGGTCCAACATTTACTACTTTCTCCAGTTCCCTATTGATCTCTTATCCCTTCACTTCTGGACAGTTAAATATAGTTCCATTGTTTTGTTATGACAAATGAAGCTAAAATGTTCATTGTTGTACACTGCTGTTTTTGTTACTTGAGATTTTTTTTCCTAAACAGCAAGCTTCTTGAAAGAGCCTGCCCTGTTGTTGCCAATTTCCTTATGTTGCATTTATCATTTGAAGTACTATTGCCTTGCCTCTCTGTGCCACTCTGTTGAAATTCCCTCTCATCAAGGTAACCAGTAGCCTCCACGTCACCAAATCTAATTTCTGTTTCATAAGTCCTTGGTTGATTTCTTTTTGAAATAAAAAATGTGCCAGCATCTGGCACGTCTCTGCATTTTCTCTGCCTTTTAAACTTTTATCTTATTGGTCACACCATTCTACCCTGGGTTTCTTCCTATAAATATTAGCTAATACTTATTGTTTATCAAGTAAATGGCAGAGCCTCCAGAATGTAAACTCACACAGATTGGGCCCAGAGTCCATGATGAGAATTACTGTGCTGTACTATTTATTTTTGTGAATACGTTTTTTTTTTTTTTTTCAGTATCCTTTGTGAGCTCATTTTGCTAGTTTCTTACACACTGAAATTCTACAAGATACTTTGATTGGCCTTATGATTACACATTCCATGAGTAATCTCACTCACCCTCATTATTTTAGCCACCTTCTAAAAGTTCTTAATTGTCAAAACTGTAGTTAAGATGATATTTCCCCTGAATTTCTTGTGTTACATCTCTTGTTTGTTTTAAGACAAGGTCTCACTATGTAGCCCAGACTGGACTTGAACTCTTGGTGATCTTCCTGTCTTAGCCTCTTGAGTGCTAGGATTACAGGTGCATTCCACCACACCTGGCTCATGTTACTTTTAGAATGGATTCACTTGGGTGTTCCATTGGTACCTAAACACACAATATAAAAACTGACTGTTGGGCACAGTGGTGCATGTCTGTAACCCTAGCACTAAGGAGGCTGAGGCAAAAGGATCCCCACTGAGTTGCAGGCCAACCTGGATTACACAGTACAAGGCCAGCCCAAACTATACAATGAGAGCTTGCCTCAAACAAATGAACACTTTTAGTGTTCCTCCTCGTGTATATTTATATGGTAATATCAGCCAATCATCCAAGTGAGAAAACATGGTGACATCTCAGATTTCTCCCTTTCCTTTGTCCCAAGAATTCAAGTAAACAAGTTGTGCTAATTCTACCCCCTAACATTTCTTAAATCTTTCCTTCATTTCCATGCCTACTTCAAACTTTTTTTTTATCACTTGCCTGATATATTGCAATAATATCCTGTTGAATCTCTTTAAAGTATCCTTATTAGCATAGATCTGACCAGTCACTTCCTTTTTGTGACTCAGTTCTGCTAACAGGTACATTCTCAGTTCTTTAACATAATACTTAAAATTTACTGTGGTTTAGAGAGTAGGCTTTGGAATAAAAATGCCTAGTTTGAATCTCAGCTTATGTAACTTTGGGTAACATATCACAATTTTTGTTTCATTTTCCACATCTATATTATGAGAATTAAATGAGCTATCCATTTAAGGAACTTAGCACACAGCCTGACATGTAGTTGCTCAATAATTGCCAGTTATTGTCAATATTATGTATCTAGTCTCATTTCTTATCAGTCCCTGCCTTTAAGTTTGATTCTAGTAATATTGTATGGCTTTTAGTTTCTTAAATGTATCATGCTGTTTCACTGTTTGTACTTTTCTGTTGCTATTTCCTTTACTTTTTTTATGTATCACACACTTCCCTGGCTAATAGTCCTCTCAGACAGCAATTTTAGGATACTTTCTCTGACCTCCAGCCCACTGTCATGCCCTGTCAGACTAACTGGCTTTTTTCTGTGATATTATAGATGCCTCATGTATCTCTAACTTAGTACTGAATGCAGCCAATTAAAGATGTTTATATATGTCTCTTCTGCCAGGCTGTAAGCTCCTTGAGCAAAAGAACATATCTTTTACTTCTTTTGACTCTCAGCACTTAACCACAGTGTGCAGCATACAGCTGGTGGTTAATAAATCTGTGTTCAACTGAATGACTCCTGTTGTCATTGACTGACCACTTAGGTATATAAATTTGAGGCTCAGTTGACCAAGAAAGAAACATCTCTTTCTCTTTTACCAAGCTAGTCTTTCTCATTTCAATAAATCACTCATGTCCAATTGTTCAAGTAAAAAACACTGATTCCACTCTCCCCTTCACCATCTACATCTAATTCATTAGCATGTATGTCAATTTATAACAATAATATATCATTCTTCCAGTCTCCACTGCTACCAGCACTGTCTATCAACTGGCATCAGTCTAACTGATCCCCATACTTCCATTCTTGCCCCTCGGTAGTCTCCCCATACGATGACCAGAGTAGTTTAAAAATGTGCATTAAATCATGATATGCTTCCACTATTAAAAGCTTTCAAGACCTTACCAGTGTATTTAGAAACTCTTCCCTGTGGCCTGCAGATCCTACAAGGTCTGATCTCTACCTATTTCAATTCCTTTTGTTCCACAGCCACCAGCCCTAGGTACAGTGGCCTTCTTTCTACACAAAGTATACCAAGTTTTCTTCTTACTTTAGCATTTCTGTACGTTGTTGCCTACTTTGCCTGAACATGTGCTTTCTAGTTAGTTGTTCTTTTGTTTTTTAACCTGGCTGACTCTCAACCTTTAAGTTCTGGCCTTAAATGTTACATGATCAGAGAGGTCTACCTAGTGACCATATCTAAATCCCTTTGTGTCTGTCTATGCATTTCCTTCATAGCGTTCCTGAAGCTTTTAATTTTTAAACTTAATATTTTCTTGTTCTTTAGACTGCCTTTCTCACTGGGTTTTAAATCCCATGAAGTGTCAACACATGTATACTGTTAATATTCAATAGTCATTGAAAGACTTGTTAAGTCAATCAGTCAGTAGAACAAGGTGTTATATAAACTTCCTTTTTGGTGTTTTAGGTATGAAAGATTTTACTTATTTACCTAGAAATTTAATTGTTGAGTTGATTTTCATATTTCTCAGTACAGTTGAACAGTGTTCATATTTTGTTTATGTTATTATCAAGAATGATAATTATAATTACTGTATAGTGGTTCTCAACAGGGGGCAATTTTGTCCTGGCCCCTGGGACACTTGACAACGCCTGGAGGCATTCTCAGTTGTTGAAACTGTAGGGAGGGGACAGGGATATACTACCTGCATCTAGTATGTAGAAGCTAAGGATGTTGCTCTGCATGCTATAGTGTAACATAAAGTGTGGTGCTCCCTACAACCAAGAATCATACCAACAGAAATGCCAATAATGCTGGGGCTGGAAAGCCAAAAGAGAAACAGCTATCATCTACTAGGAAAACATAATGGAATGGTCAATTACAGGTGTTAAGAGTTCTATCGGATTTTAAAAGCTCAATAAGATTTCTTATTTTCTAAGATTTACTTCTGTTCTTTAGAGCAGATTTCTGCTTGTTTTAAACAAAGAGTTCATTGTGCTTTAGGAAATTGCCAGATGCTCTGAAATTGTACCCCAAACTATGTGTATATAAGCACTTATTTGGGAGGAGGAGCCATGAAATTCTCACAAGAGTCCATGACTACCCAAAAGATTAAAAAACCACTGGTATTGAGAGGTTTTTAAGTTTCTGGACTGAGAAAAATCATGTCTTATGAGTGCACACTCTGTAAAATGTTTAGAAATACATGTCCTGGAGGGATATCCTTTAGAGCTACGTTGAGAGCCAGGTGAGTGCAGTGAAAGCTTTGCTCAGCTGCTTCTTCCTTCAGGTTAATACCAGTTTCATTGGGCTGTTAGGAGACAACTAGAAGTAATTTATATAAGCTCTACTTAAGTGTTAGGCACAGAGCAGGGGCTTAACAAATGTTAATTCTTTTTGTTTTCATAGAGTGGTTTGTGAGGATTTACTAGAAGAATGCTTTGAAGACCAGATGACGTGGTGCATGCCTGTAATCCCAGCACTAGGGAGGCTGAAGTAGGAGGATTACTGTGAATTCAGTTTGGGCTACAAAGTGAGTTTAAGGCCAGCCTGAACTGCATAGTAAAACCCTGTCTCAAAAATGACAAAAAATAGTTTGACAAATAAGTGAATTAATGCATGTGGCACACTGGCTGGCTACAGATGTCGAATAAATGTTTATTTTTTCTCCCATGTATTCTTTATACCAAAACCCTGCATCCTATCACTGAAAGTAAAGAGGATAAACCCAGAGATCTGACAGATTTGAGTTTGAATCCTGACTGCTATTTTACTAGTTGATCTGGGTCATGTTACTTCTCTTTTCTCATTGCTAAATGGGGTATAATGCCTACATCTCAGGTTGCTAACAAACACGTATGAAATAATATATGTAAAGAAACTAATATATAGATACACTGGGGGTATAACTGGTGCTTAACAACTGTTAATCTCTTTTTTCAAACAGTTCCTAAAAACTACCTATATGAATTAATTTTATGATCAGAGAATAGTTTGTTGGTTTTTAAAAAAATTTTATTTAAAGAAAGACCAAACAAAACAGAAAATGGGTAGAAATAATACATATGTTCAGAGAAAAAAATAAACAGTAAGAAATCACTAGTTGATGTTTACATACTGTCCTCTTACAAATAGTTGTTCAAGATACAAAAGTGGAACATAGAAAGTGGGAATTCAAACAGAGAGACTGCAAACAGTTCTGTTCAACTATCCAACAAAAACTTAGTAATATGGTTGTTAATCCTATACACTTAAACATACATGCAGTTATCTATATCTTCATTTATGTTGAGATTAAACAAACTAAAGCAGGCTAAAGTCATTCTGAACAAAGAAAATAGTATTGCTGGATTTCACATCATGACACTCCGGGATCAGCACTGGATACTGTAGTGTCTTTTTAAAAATTTTATTTAAAGAAAGACTAAACAAAACAGAAAATGGGTAGAAATAATACTTACTTTCAAAGAAAAAAATAAACAGTAAGAAATCACTAGTTGATGATTACAGATTGTCCTCTTACAAATAGTTGAGAATAGTTTGTTGAATGCTTGATATTATGACCTTATCTACATAAAGTCTATATAAGGTCTATCTATATAAAACTTGAATATGCAATCTCTAGTATTTGTCTTCACTATATCTTCACTCACAGAAGATGATAATATTTCATTTAGATATGCTTTGAATGTTTAATTCCATGAGTTGTGAGCATAAGCAAAAGGGCTGTTAGGCTAAGTCTATAAAATACCCAATACAATGCTGTGCTCAGTTGCTTTTTTAGGCATTCACTGGGTACCACATTCTCAGCATTAAAGAACAAAATGAGAGAGATCTTTGGCAATGAGGAGTTTTATCAACACTCAGTAACAAGAACACCTAAAATTTTACTGAGTGCTAATTATAATGCTAGCCACTGCGCTCAACATTTGCTTTGCCCAGCATATTTCATCTTCACATTAATCTCTATTTATAGGTAAATCAGACATAAAATGATTAAATAATTTACTTAATTTGTCTAGTATACAGTGTTACTATGAACCCTCCCTATCTGATAAATACATTTATTTAATGTTTTAGGTGTTGATTAAAAGCATTTTTTAAATATTATAAAACCTTCAAAAGGTGCCAAAAGGGCCAGGTATGGGGGTACAAGCCTATAATCCCAGGACTTGGGAAACTAAAACAGGAAGATTATGAGTTCAAGGCCAACCAGGGCTACATACTGAGACTGTCTTTAAAAAATACCACAAAATTACCAAAAGGTATATCATAAATAATAAAAGTCTTTCCTTCTGACTTCTGATAATTGTTGGCCCGTTCTACCAAGCTTTTATGACATACTGTAATAGAAAATAGACCAAATCAGGTAGAAACAGAGGGAAATCAACTTATGAAATAAGGGAACCACTGAGTGAGGAGTCAGAACAGAGTTCAGGGGTGCCAGTCTTATACAACTGCAAATGTTAAGGTTCCAAGAAAAATTCACTCATTATACCAGTATTCACAACAATTTCAATTTAAATGAGAAAAAACAGTCAACACATGTGAATATCAAGATGACATGTGCTAAAATGATCTGATAAAAATTTTAAGGCAGTCATAAAAATATTTCAATGAGAAATTACAAAAACAAACAAAATGAAAAAATAGTACTAGTGGAGAAATAGAAAACATAATGATGAGTAAAATGGAAATTTTAGAACTGAAAAATACAATAACAAAAAACTTACTGAATGGACTAAATAGAAGAATGGAAATGGCAGACATAAAATAGATGAATAAGAAAAAGCAGTTTCAGGATTCCATGGGACAAGAAAAACGATTAAATATTCTTGTCATTGGAGTCACAAAAGAGAAAGATAAAAGGTGATATTATAAAAATAGACAAAACAATCTTGTGAGCAGCTAGAAAGAAATGATAAATTACTCATATGAGAATACTACTCTGAATGACAATAGTTTTCTCATCAGAAACCACAGAGGTCAGAAAGAGGAGACATTTTTTAAGTGCTGAAAGAAAAGAACCATCAATCGAAAATTCTATACCCAGTGAAAATATCCTTCAAGAGGGAAAAGGAAATTAAGACAATCAGATGAAACAAGACAAAGAGAACTTTTCAGCAGCCTACTTCAAACAAATGGAAAAAGTAATTTCTATAAATAGAAAAGAAATGATTAAAAAAATCACAACACCTGAAAGGAAGAAAAGACAAAAAATAAAAATATAGGTAAACACAACAGACTTTTACCTTCTTCACGTCTCTAAATTTCTATTTGATGATTCAAAGGAAAACTGTAACCATAGGATATGGGTCTCAATGAATATATGAGAAATATTTAACGTATCTTATAAAGGGTAAAGGAACCTAAATGGAGATAAGATTTCTTTACTAAAAATTGATAAATGTTTCTACCAGAATATGATAACTTACACATGTATAACCTAATACCTAAAGCAACAACTGAAAAACCTAAACAAATTGATACACTCAAATATAGACACATAAAATGAAATTTTAAAAAATTTTCAAATAACTGAGATGAAGGCAAGAGAAAGAAATATAAAACATAAAATGGCAGATTTAAACCCTACCATACCAAGAACTACATTAAAAGTAAATGGTCTAAACTGGGCATGGTGGTGGATGCTAGTGGTCCCAGCACTCAGGAGGCTGAGGCAGGAAGATTACTGTGATTTTGAGTATTTAAGACTAGCCTGAAATAGGACCCTGAATTAAAAAAAAACTAAATAAATAGTATAAAAACAGATTTAAAAAGCAGAATTGGCAGAATAAATTTAAAAAACAAATGTGACTCAACTATATTCTCTGTATAAGAAACTCACTTCAAATTTAACAATAAGGCTGGGCTGTACCTCACTGCTAAATCACTTGTCTAGCATGACCACAGCCCCGGGTTTGATCTCTAGCATTATAAGAAAAAAGTCCAAATATGATATAGGAAATTGAAAAACAGAGTGTGTATGCATTTAGTCTTATGCAGTTTTTATATGTATAGATTGACGTAATCATCACCATAATCAAGACACAGAAATGAACCATCACTACAAAGATTTTCTTTGTGTTACTGTGTTATACCATAGAAGTCTTCTTCTCTTCCCTGACCTAAGCCTATCTCTAATTTTTGGAACTCACTAATCTGTTTAACACTGCTCTGATTTTTTTCATTTAGACATGAAATAAATAGAATTATATAGTATATGACCTTTTTGAGTCTTTTTTCACTCAGCATAAATTCTCTCTAGATCCCTCTAAATTGTTCCATGTAACAATAATTCATTTTTTTGAATGGTATTCTATATTGTATTGTCTAACCATTGAAGGACTTTGGGGTTGTTTTCACTTCTAGCCATTAAAATGAAAACATTTCTGTATAGTTGTGTAGGTGTAAGCTTTCATTTCTCTGGGAACACTGCCTAGGAATGCACTTTCTGGATTACATAAGAATAGGCTCAGTTTTTGGAAAAAAAAAGACATTCATGTTTTCTTTTGATTACTGTTTATATTCTATATCTTTTGAAAAATATTATACAATAATTTTATATAATTAGTACATAATTTTATATAATTACATTAATAATTATTATATAATTAATAATTTTACACAGCTGGATGTGGTAGCACATGCCTGTAATTCCAGTACTAGGAGGCTGAGGCAGAAAGATCACTGTGAGTTCAAGGCCAGCCTGAGCTACATAATGAGACTCTGTCTCAAAAATATCTACATGCCCAATGTGGTGGCGCAGGCCTGTAATCCCAGCACTCAGAAGGCTGAGGCAGGAGGCTTGACTTTCAATTCGAGGCCAGCCTGGTCTACAAAGTGAGTTCAGGGCCAGCCTGCACTACATAGCTAGATGTCTCGAAAAGACAAAAAAAAAAAAAAATATGCATATACTTATGTGACACAGTGTAATGATCTGATATATATACAAAATATATAATGATCAAATAAATGTAATTAGCATTTCAATCTCCTTAAACATTTATCATTTCTTTTTGCTGTGAACCTTCAACTTGTCTTTCTTAGTTGTCTTTATAAAGCACATAATAAATTGTTGTAAACTATAGTTGCCCCATTGAAATACTCTTTCCTTTTTCAGCAATGTGTCTGTAAAGCTAGATTCACTACACAAATTTTAATAAAAACAACATATTGAAACACATTGAATGTACAAGTAGATATGAGAATTCAGCTGTCATCTACCAACCCAGACAATAAAGAGATAAAGGAAGGCTATACAAATGGTATTTTTTCATAAAATTGCTTTTTATCTTAGAACATAGTTATTTTTTAATAAAAGCATATTATTTGTTCTAATATGTACCAGATTTTTATTCTTAAATGAAATAGGAGATAGTTTAAAACAAAAAATATAATTGACTAAAACAAAATATTAATAAAATATAAAGGGGTTTATAGCATATTAAAACTGTAACTGTACAATCATACAAATATAATAGCAGAAAAGAAGGGAAAGGGAAAAATGGAGGAACTGCTGTTAAGTTGCTAAATTGTACGTTAAGTAATGTAATACTACTTGAAAGTAGATACTGAATTAAAAATGCATGATATAAATCCCAGAACAAAAAACAAAGAGTTACAGCTAATAGGCAAATAAGGAACTAAACTAGGATGCTAGAGCTCAGCAGTAGGAGCACTTGTCTAGCATAAATGAGGCTTGGGAATCAGTTTCCAGCAGCACAAATAACAAGCAAACAAACATGTTTAGTTTTTAAAAAGCAGGAAAAGACAAAGAAAGAACTAAAGAATGGATGAGACAAATAGAAAAGAAATAGAAAGATGGACATAAATAATTTCTTTCAACACAAATGGTCTAAATACTCCAAATAAAAGAAAGATTGTCATGCTTGATAAGAAAACATGACCTAACCAAATGGTGTCTACAAGAAATTCTCTTTAAATAGGAAGAAATGTATAGTTTTAAATAGGTTAAAGGTAAAAGAAGAGGAAAAATGCACTACACACTCAGTAATCCTAAGGAAACTTGTATGGCAAAATATTAAAATTGGGAAAAATAGATTTCAGAACAAGAATGTAACCAGAGATAGAGAAGGCTATCTCATAAAGGGATAAATTCATAAAGAAGATACAAGAACTGTGTGTATGCATCTCATAACAAAACTTAAAAAATGTGTGAAACTTAAACTGATAAACTGAAAAGTAGAATAACTAAATCCAAAATCATAGTCAGAGACTTTAGCTCTGAGAAACTGACAGAACAAATAGGTAGAAAATCAGTAGGCATATTAGAAGTTGTAAACAGCATGCTCAACCAACCTGATGTAATTGATAATAATAGCAAATGTCACCCAATAACAGCAGAATACACATTCTTTTCAAGTTGCATATTAAACATTCATTAAGATAAATTATGTGGTGGGCCATGTAAATTTCACTAAACATAAAATACACTGAAACCTTGAAGACTATATTCTTTGAGCACAAAGAAAAATATGTGGAAAATTATCAAATACTTGGAAATTAAATTTTGGCAGTGCTGGGCATTGAATCTAGGTCCTCGAGCATGGATGGTAGATAAGTACCCTACCACTAAGCTACATCCCCAGCTCTGAAAATTATTTTTTAAAAAACCCTACATTTATTTATTTATTGTGATACTTGGATTGAACCTAAGGCTTTTACTCTGAGCTACATCTCCAGCCCTTCTTTATTTTTTATATTGAGACAGGGTCTCCTTAACTCACAAAACTGTCCAAGCAAGACTTCAACCTGCTATCCTTCTACCTCAGCCTTCTAGAGTGCTGAGATTATAGGCATGAGTCATTAGGCTCAGCCTAACTCTATATTTCTAAATAAGCTGCTGGTCAAAGAAGGAAATATTTTGAGTCAAAGGAAAATGAAAACAACATTTCAGAATTTGTAAGATGAGGGCCGGGGATTTAGCTCAGTGGCATAAGTGTCTGCCTGGCAAGCACAAGGTCGTGAGTATGATTCCCGGTACAAACAAACAAAAAAGAATTTGTAAGATGCAGCTAAAGCAGTGCTTACATGAAAATTTATAGCTCAAAATGGTTATATTAGAAAAGAAAAATGTTAAAAATCTGTTAACTAATTTTCTATTATAAGAAAAAAACTACTAAAAATGTACAGTAAGCAGAAGGAAGGAATAACAAAGATGGAGCATATATAACATAGAAAAGGAAAATGAAGTCAATGAAACTAAAAACCAGTTCTTTGAAAAAATACTTTAATGAAATTGATAAATCACTAGTTAAAATAGTTAAGAAAAAATCATTCATAACAGGAGAAAAAGAAAGGATATTGGATCCTATAGAAATTCAAAATAAAAATAAAGGAATATGAGTAAATGGGAAAATTCCTTGAAAGACAAATTACCAAAATGGGATCAAGACGCAATAGTAAATCTAAATAGCCATATAACCATTAAAGAAACTGAATTTATAAAATACAAAACAAAGAAAACTCCAGACTGCAATGTTTTCAATGGTGAATTCTATCAAATATTTTACAAAGATACAGTATCAATTTTATATAAGCTCTTTCAGAAAAAAAGGAGGTGATACTTCCCAAGTAATTTTATAGGATCAGCACTGCCCTGACATTAAAGCCAGAGACATTATAAGAAAGAAAATAACAAGCCAACATCCATCATCAACATAAGACACAGTAGTCATTGGCCAAATTTCAGCAAACTGAATCTAGTAACGTATAACAAGCACAACACACCATAACCAGTTAGAGCTCCCAGGAATGTAAAGTTATTTTAACACAAAAATAGTTGAATTTATCTTACTAACATAAGAGCAACAATGTAAGTATTTCAATAACAAGAAAAAGCACTTGACAAAATCCAAAACTCATTTGTGAGGAAAAAACTGAGAAAATTAGAATAGAAGGGAAATTTCTTTACTTAGCAAAGAATATTTTTCAAAACAAAACAAAATATGGCTGACATCACATGACAATAAAAGATTTAAGTGCTTTTCCCCTATGATTGCTAGTAAGACAAAGACATTCACTCACCACTTCTATTTAGCATTGCACTGATGGTCTCAACCAGTGGTCACAATCAGTGCAATAAGAAAGGAAAAAAGAATAAAAAGCATTATACAGGAAGAATTAAAACTCTTTATCTGTATATGACATGATTGTATACCTGGAACATGCTAAGTAATTTATGAAGAAAATTAGTAAAAATAGTGACGTTAGCTACATAGGTTACATTATTTAAGGTCTATACAAAATCAATTATATTTCTATATTCTGGCAACAAACAAATTGTTTTAAGAAATATGTACAGAAAATCAAATCATGAAATACTTAGGGATAACTTTAACAAAACCCATGCAAAACCTGTTTGCTGAAGTTTAAGTTGAAATTATAACTAAGTAAATGGAAAGATACTTGTAAATTCATGGATTGGAAGATTACTGTTAAGATTTTATTCTTCCAAAAAATAAATTTATATAGATTGTACTGAAAGACATTTACTTACAGATACTTTGTATAACTTTTTTAATTTTTATTTTTTTTTATTTAAGAGAAAAGAAGACACAGAAAAGAAAAACAAAGGCAAAGAGACAAACAACAATAGCAAACCCAAAATAATAACAGTATAGGTTTATAAAACAAAATGATAGGAATTTAACAATGCTTATAATATTGCATATTGTTACCTTCAGAAGGGTTGCTTAGATTACCACATATAGACATGTAAAACTGATCTAATCATATAAGCATTAACTGTTCTTTTCCAAGAACTAATACAATTAGTAGTATAGTGATTTTAGCTATCTTAGGTATATATACAAGTTTCTGTCTTTTTCCTTTTCACTTCCTTCTTTCCTCCCTTCCCCTATCCCAGTTACTTTTCCTCTTTGAGCAGTTTCTTACCCTTACACAATATTTATTGTAGATTTTGGATTGTATTTACTCTTTCAGTTTCTTCTGCTAGGGAGACTATGGTATTTACATATGTGAGTTTGATTTATTTCACTTATGAGTACGGTCTCAAGTTGCATCCATTTACTTATAAAAGCCTTGATGCAAGCTGAGTAGTACGCCATTGTATAAAAATACCAAATCTTTTTATTCATTCTTTGAGTGGATATTTTGTATATATATTGACTTAATTCATTTTAATGGCTATTTCCTAACATGAAGGAGATACAATTTACCCAATCAATCCATCAAAACTGGTTAAGTAGAATAAGTATTTATTGTTAGCAAACCTACTCGATGACAATGAATATTATGTGCTGCACAAAGAATTTCATACTTCAGAGGGTTTCGGATTTTTGGATGTTTGTCTTAGAAATACAAAATATATACATGCAACTGCCTTACTCTATCCTAGATCATGAGACTTAAGTGGTATTACTGGATCACAGAACATTCTTACACCTAATAGTCCAGGTGACTGTGCTAATTAGCTATATGCTGGCCATTTTATGGGTCCATGTCATGTTTGGGCTTTCCTTATGGTAGAGATACCTGGGGCAAACATACACACATGATCTGTTCCTCTCAAGCTTTCCCAGCTGGGCTCAAAGTTCTTCCTCCATCTGAAATTGACTCTTCATTCCAAGTTTGACTGGCTAATCTGAACTTCCTAATCACTGGCTTTATGGCATCACTGGCTTTTATAGTATCACCAGTTTTGTATTTCATGAGGGCTATATTTGAAGTTCCACTCCTATTTCCTTCTTGTTTTATTTTGTTTTGAGACAGGGTCTTGCTATGTAGTTCAGGCTGGCCTCAAAAGTTCCCACCTCAGACTCTGAGTGCTGGGATTACAGGGGTGTGCTACCATGTTCAGCTCAAATTCCTATTTACTTCTAACATCTATGCTGGATTTACTGTCTAAACCCCTTTCCCTGAATGCAAATCTAGTGTTTTCCCATAGATGTACCTGTCCTATAGCCGTAACTATTTGCAAAGCATAGGAAGTTGCTACCCACTAGGGTTAAATTTTGTTCTCAGAGAAGGACTAGATTATCCTTCCAATTCTTCCATATCAGTGTGAATGTTAATGCACATCATTTAAACACTCATGTGTTTAGTTGTTCACTCATTGAAAGAACACCAGCTATGTGGATGTTTAACATTATGCTATGCACAAAAAAGGGATATGGAGACAACCAAACCATGGATGATTAAAAATATGGTATAGGGTAAGAACCTCTAATCTGAAAATCTGAAGTCTGAAATGCTCTCAAATCCAAAAATTTGTAGTGCTGACCTGACACCATTGATGGACATTTCCATATCTTTCTTTGTTTCATGCACAAAATTACCAAAATATTGTGTAAAATTATCTTCAGCCTATGTGTATAAGGTGTGTATGACATGTAAATGAACTTGGAATTTAGGCTCAGATTCCATCCTCAAGATATCTTATTATATACAGACAACTGTTTTAAACTACTGAGAGACAAAAAATCCAAAATCCGAAATACTTCTGGCCCCAGGCATTTTGGATAAGGGCTACCCAACCTCTGAAGACTATACATGTTATGGGATTAAATTTGAACCTCTTATCAGCTCTGCCTTTTTAAATCTCTCCCCTTTGTAATCTGTCTTCTATTTCCTACCAAATGAGATTTCTAAGAATGAAAGTTTGTTTTCATAGGGAAAAAGCATAAACTCATTAATGTAGCATTCAAGACTCTATAATCTGGCCTCAATTTCCATTCAGGTCTTAAACTTTCCTATTGTTTCTCATATACCTTATGTTTTACACACAGCAAATGTCTCACTGGTCCTTTCTACCCACTATTTACTCTCCCTAGAATGCCTTTCCCTCTTTCTTTGCCTAGCAGACTCCCAATTTCCCAATTCAGTGCAAAATTTTGTTGAAATACTTTCCTTATGTTCCTAATCTGCTCTGGGTTTGAGCACATTGCCCTGTTGCCTTTATTAAAAAGTGAGATTTTTTTTTACCATACTGGGTTTATCTCATTAGTCTCTGTATTTCTGAATCCAGATCTGAATAAGATCCATCAAAAGGAAGGGGACCAATAAATATTAGTTAAATGAATGAAGGAATATCTGAATAGGAAGATCAAAGAGATGTGGTAGATGTAGGTCAGTTTTTGAAAGGCAGAATTTAAACTGGACCTTTAAACTGGACCCAGGAAAACAGTAGGGCATTTGGAGGAGGTACATTATTATTCTCTGAGATGGAAGAACAAAAGCCCAAGCATGAAAGCAGAGATGGTAAGGAGGTCAGCCAGGCTGCAGCCCACTGACCTTGTCATTTGCCAGATTCCTCAAGTACAATCTCAGTTCTTGGAGGGCTATTTTGCATACTCCTTTGCATTACCTATATGTTAGATGCCCATCTCCATAGTCACAGTTCCTATGCTTTATGGTTCTGATCCCGTGCTGTTTTAGAACTATCTGGGCATTAACCTATGTCCCTACATTTGCACCAGCCTTCCTCCCCAGCTGCTTGAGGTAGGGGACAAAGTCTTGCTGTTTTTACATCTCCCAAGACATTTAGCATCGGTCCTGGATCACAATGGGTAGCAAACATTTTTTATATGCCTTTAAAAAATATGATTACAGATAAATACAAAGATATTTATGTACAGCTGTGTATTGTGACACAAAACTTATATATGCCTTTATACCATGTAGTCTATTTTTGGCTATTTTCATTAAAATGTTATCTTATTGTACCTAGAAGACTATCATTTCAATTTTCTTCTTTGTTCCTTCTTGGATGACTCATATGTCACACCAGAAGGATATGACAGGAGGGATTCACAAGGGGTTTGAACAAATTTATGAATGACATAGTCATAAATATCTGGGTATAAGAAGTAAAGGAGTATGCAAAGGGAAAAGAGGAGAACATGTCTTTCTAAAATGTCAATTAGGTGCCAGGAATTGTGTGTCAGAGACTTGGTATATATTACATCTCATCTAATCTTGCAGAATAAGTTTGTACAAAGACAGAACATTATCTAAGGGGAAGCTCACATCTGTTCAGGCACATAGCTTTCCAGGTACCAGAGGTAATATTCATGCTGATTAAAATTTTATAAATCTTCTAAGAGAGATGAATCTTTTGCTGCCCAAGAACAGAACACTCACTCAATTCAGACTTCTAAGGCTGAAAACTCCTTTCTGACATAAGGTGATCAGTTTTTAAAGTCCCAGTGCTTTAAATTACAATTCAATCTGAGATATTCCCACAACAATAACAGCAATTACATTTATCCACAACACTTACATTTATATTTCAGTAAGCTTCCAAATACTGTATAAAGGTAAGTCAAGAAAAGAGACTTCTATTAACCCTAATACCAGCAAATTGTCTCAAATTATGGTATACCTTCTTTTTCTATTTTAGACATATTGAATGGCTTTTCCAAGATACACATTTTATCTCATTTAAGGTTAGAAGAAAATTGGGAGGAAATTAGTTTGTTTCTAATTTTTAAAAAATAATAGTAACTTTAAAAAAACGTAATGTTTCCTAGTAAACAACTGCTATATCTGGCAGAAATCATTACATTATAACAATGCAACACCACTTATCCTTGGGAAATAGCTTGAGAAGATGAGGCTGCATGTACTGGTCTGTTATTTTGACCCACACAGTCTAAGATCTGTTCCAGCATCCTAGTCTGTGATAACATGATGCCTGCCAAGGTGAGAAATAGTGGGAATAGGAGGGGTACACCTTGAGATGAGTGATTATCAGCATACTCAAAGGTCCCAGATAGCTTGTCATTCCCTTGCTTTAGGAAAATCAGAACAGACACCTTTGTTTTGTAAAGCTCATCTCATATGACTAAAAACATAGCAAGGGTTCGAGTGACACATTTCACACTTTGGATGGTCCTGCTCCAATCCCTGTATGCATTAATTGCTGGAAAAACACCAGACCTGACTTTGTTAGTGACTATATGTTTCTTGTCTTTTACATTAGTCAAAGAAAATTGACAGATCAGCACTACTACCAGAGAACATATACTATACACCACCTATGAGACCTCTTAAAAAAGACGAAAACCTAGATTATACATTTAAAAACCAGTCCTTTTCTTTCTGAGGTAGGAAATGAAAACATGAGCATATTCCAAAGTGTTCTTTGTGTGAACAGGTGACCTCTTCCCACAGTCTCTGTAATTAATTGAGAAATTAAAGTTGGTTGGCCTTTGAGGTCTTTTGTAAAAGAAAAAAAAGGCAGAAGGTCTTGGATATTTTGGAACAAGAGTCCACTATTCTGCCAAGACAGTATGTTATTGTTGTTGAAGTGTCTCTCAACAAAATGGTATTGAGTGGTGAGGACATGATTTTGATTAGGTAGAATGACTCAGCTCTTCTCCTTAAAGAGGAGAGGACTTGTCAGAACCTCACTTACCTCATGATCTGGGATCTCAGAGGGTAGTGTTTTCCCTAGGATGACCCCGGTCAAGTATGTCCAGCAACGAGCTGTGTTGGCAAGGTTATAGCCTCCTATCTCCATCAAGAATTGTCAAATTAGGAAAGGATAGTCACAAAACAGCAGCAAAGGGAAGGTGGGGGAGGAAAGAGAGAAAAATGTTTTAATAAAATAGCTAAAAAGACAACTCCAACTTAAAGAATTTCACCCAAATATCCCTTTATGATATTTGCAGACCACCCAATGGGCAGATGTTGGGGGACCATAGTGTAGAGCTAGGAATTCCAAGGACAATGAAGATGAAAGAGGCTCCCATCTCCTAACAAATATGCACCCTCGGCTTCTCCATCAAAAGACATCAGAAAGACTGAAATCCCTTGAATCAGGATCTCTGGAGGTGACAACCCAATGGGAAGGTTCCCAAGATGAATTTTGCAACAATTCTATAAAATGACTGTTGGATGTTATTTGTCTGTTACAGCTATTGGCAGACCCCTAAAAGCATACAGGAAAGAGGAAAAAGGAAAGTGCTGACAGAAACAGAATTCTTTCTTTGAATATCAGCATTCCTTTTCACCACAAAATACAGGCCTGGTGCAGCGATCAGAGAGAGTGAGATGATTGCTACATCTGGCCATTGATTGACACTCTGACTCATCTTATCAGGTGCATCTAGCAGCCGTATCACACTGGTTAATAATTAGCGTATTTCTGTGCTAAATATATGTGTTCTGCTTGCAAGCTTAGAACACTGGCCATTAGCTAAATTCCAAGAGTATAAGCGTAAAATGGAATGATTTCCTAACCTCAGTGCAGTCTAAAGGAAATAGAATCTAGTCTATTTTAGGTCGGGGGACAATATAAATTAGGTGACATAGTTGTTTTTATATGATAGTTTTAAGAGTAAAAGAGGATGCTATTAATCATTATACTAAGATAATACATATAAACTAGGACATATGGTCATCTTTTTCTGAAGCCTTTCTACTATTTGAAAGGTCAGGGGTTCTGGGGCTTTTGGAATGTGTCTTTCAAGCCTCAAAAGGTCCACTGAAACCTGGGGGTGTGGCTGTCTCTACTAATTGTCTATGTGCTAATAAGAATTGAGAATTTCAGTTAAATAGTATAGATATTACTTAAACACCCCTGATATGAAAAAAATTGGATTTTTAATATATACTTACTTAGCACGATTATTTAATTTCAAAAAGAATCACTTCAGGTTTTGCTTAAGTATTAAGCTATCTCTAGCATACATGTAGTATATGATCTGATTTGCAAAAATTTCATTTATGTATAAGCATTTTTAGGAATATACATATTACATAAAAAGAGTTATACTTACATACTCAAAAGCCAAAACTTTATGCTGAGAAAGCAAAAGGGCTTCAGAAGCAAAATAGGCCTGTTAAGTAAAGACTGTAGCCTCAGATGAAAGTTAAATTCTCACAGATATATGTTGCAGAAAAGCCTCTCTTCCCCCTAGCTGAAAATGTATCATCATCACCATCCTTAGTGCATCATGGAAAGTAATATGTCATATAATATTTACCAATTTTAGCCTTTAAGTTAATATATTTCTTGCCATATTTTCATAAAATATTGTCTCTTATAAGCACTTTAAATTTTGATCCCTCTGGGATTTGAAGCTGCCAAAGGACCACGTTTGTGTATTTGTGCTGAATTATTTAGTTACATATAAGACCTTCCCAGGATTTCTTTCGTTTACTTTGGTTTTTACAATAGGCTGACAAAACAACAAACTATTAGCTTTTTCATAATATGTGCATTTTAACCCCAATTTGCTTGACCATGTTATTTTAACATACATTCATCTAATGAAATAAAAAGATTTTTCCAGGTAGGGATATAGACGAACCTAAGCAAGGCAATTTCCAAAGTGGTTGAAGTTATGAAGGCTTTTCTTTTCTTAGATATATACATGCCTCAGTTTTCTGCTGGTTAAGTAATAAAAATGTCAGTAACTGTGAAAAGCAAGAATACCTGTGAGGCTCAGAATCTCTCCAAGTTGCTTCATTATGACAAAGTCATGCTTTTAGGGGAGTCATTCTTGAATTCAGCCTGGGTATTAAATTAATTAATATATTTACTATTGAAATATGTGTAAGTTAGGTAGTATGTTTCCTTAAGATGATTATGAGAACTAGGAATCAAAGATTACACTGAGGTTTTCCCATGAACCAGGTTCTGTCTTGGGGATTGGGAAGAGACTCAGCAAGAAGATAAACCATGCCTTCCCATGAGCCAGGGTCTACCATGGGATTGGGAAGGGAATCAGCAAGAAGACAAATCGCACCTTTCCATAGGCCAGCCAGTGTGTGAGCTGGGAAACCAGAAAAGCATCCCCCCTCCCCGCCAGTTCCTGGGTGAGCAACTGGTTGATTCAGAGGACTCAGAGTGAGATGATAGTAACGGAGGTAAAGGGAATAGCTTAATGTTTCTATTGTTTGACTTTGCAGGCCTGAGGCTGGTGGTTTGGGCATCTATTTGGAGGAATGGCATCATGCATTGTGGTGACTATGGGGGATTTCCTTCTGTCTTATTTTTGAAATCCAGTGTTTTGTTCCATGTTACTGTTTTGTTTTATTCCTGTACCTGGTAATCTGAGCAACTATTTTGAAGATAACAATATGCAGTATAACAGCCATTGTTAAATTTCTGTCATCTTGTTTGGAAAATCCATATAGCTATTTTTTGTTGTCATTATCATTTTGCTTTTTTTGTTGTTTTTTAGGTTTGTTTACTTTTTGACTTTTCTGTTTTTTCTTTTTAAAATAAAGAAACAAAGACTACACTGAAAGAAGATAAATCAGGTCTATTGGAATTAACACCCTCTATACTTATGATCTGCGGTAACATTTTTTTTTTTGCAGTGCTGGGATAGAACTCAGGTACTAAAACATACTATGCAAGTATTCTGTTACTATGCTAAACATCAGCCCTTGAGGTACCCTTTAGCCTAAGATCTTTACTGCAGGACATGAAATGGACTTCATAGTGCCAAGGAGTCAATGCATATGCCAAACTGAGGAGGGCTGAATGTAGCAGTGGCAGAGCTCATTGACTCAGGCTTCTGGGTCACAGACATGTTGGTATTATCTGGTATTATCCAATTTAAGGTCAACTTAGTACCAATAGACAAACTGTGGAGAAAGGTCAACAAATTATCCTGGTGACCTTTCTTTGTACTCACCTCCTCCTAAAATGAGTGTTGCCAACTTCCACTGAAGGATGTATTTAAGACACTTGCCAATTCCCACTGGAGTCATGTTAAAGGAGCACATGGGATCCCCCGCTATTGTATCAGCTCCCAGCTGTAAAACCACTGCTTTTGGATTAAAGGCTTGATATACTTCCTTTAGTACACTGCAGAAAAGAGAAAGGATACTGTGCATCAGAAAGAGAAACATCAATTTGGTCTAGGCTTTAGTGGTGGAAGTATAGGAAGTTAGAGGTATACTCAAATCAGCACATAATTAAGGAAAAAGAAACAATCTGGCTATCGCATCAAAATTTCCACCTAGAAATAGCAAACTGCATTGTATGTGAATTATACTTTAATAAGTCTGATTTTTAAAAAATTTTCTGTACTTCTATCACCAGTGAACAAATTTGCCTTTCTGTTTGAGAACTCACATTTCCTTATTAATTTAATGTCAACAGCCACAGGACACAGGATACATTTATTGCATTTTAATATCTGGGGAAATAAAACATACTAAATAGTTATGAAGGATTCTTTCACATAATTTAAGATGGCAATCATACTTGGAGTTAATCACTTAATTTTAAGTGGGGGTTAGTAGTGAGAAGCACAAAGCTTTGACAGCCTACATGTTATAAGCTTATTTTTTTATTATGGGAGAGGTCTTGAGGGTTATAAAATGTAGTCTTCTCTAATGTATATGTAAGCAGGGTATTATAAGAAATGCAACTATGGGGGCTGGGTATTTAGCTCAGCGGCATAAGCACCTGCCTTGCAAGTGTGTGGTTGTGAGTTTGAACCCCGGTACCGATAAAAAAAAAAAAGAAATGCAACTATGAAGACTGATGTAAAATCATAATACTGAAAGCACCCTAAAAGAACAAGTTACAGTTGGTAATAATACTGAGTAGAATCACCCACTGCTATCAAGTCAACCTAAACACTTTAATGAGAAGCCTTACAGATGACAAGGAAGATGTCAGTATGACAGGTGACCTCAGTCAGACTTCCAATATTATTATTAATTGAACACTGACAATGCCCAGATTGTATTCCCAGGAGTTATAAAGGTCTTGCTCTCAAGGGGCTTACAACCTACTTTTCAGACAAAACATATACCAGTCCTCAAGGGCCTCAGTAATTTTTACAGAGACATATAAACAAGTGCAAATTAACAGACTTCAGAGTTGAGAAAATACATAGTCAAAGAGTGATAAAAAATGTTGAGGTTAATGACCCTTTCATAATCAACATGTCAAATTACACCAGTGTTGGAAAAGCAGAAAAATCCCAGATCCTTTCTGAATTGGCAAAAGAAATTCAGGAATATGAAATGCCATCCTCCCCAATTCACAGATAGCCAATATGTTGAAATATTGAACAGTGTTCAGTCACAGAGGCATTCTTCTATTAAAATAACTATTTTGTTTTGATTTTTCACCTACATAGACAAATACTGAGTTACTGTGGAGGTTATAAGAGTATTATGAAATTATGACAGATGATACTTAATACAAGGATATGGGGCCTATTTTCTCTCCCATGTGCTTATCTACTGGGTTAAGAGGGAAGATAAGCCACCCAAATAGTTTTCACGATATTTATTAAGCATCTGCATCTACAGAATACCTTAATAGCCACTCCAGGAGAGACACAGAGGAAAGCATGTTGTCTATTCTAAAAATGTTTCTAGTGGAGGGGGAAGGAAGGCAAGCAAGACTGAAGTTCTCGTCATTCATTTTCTTCTTCATTTGGCACACATTTGGGTAGTGTCTATTGTGTGCCCAACATGAGATAGAACTAGATGCTTCAAGAATACAAAAAGTCTGGCATAACCCCTATCTTCATATAGGTCAGAATAGAGTGGAAGCCACAGGCTATGGCAACAAACAATTAAAATGTAATGATAAATGACACATCAGAGTTGGCACCAAACAGAGAGTAATTAACTTTTCCAGAGGATGTTAGACAAGGCTCTACAGAGGTAACTCTTGACTTAGGTCCTAAAAGAGAAGAAGTATTACAATGAGCCAACTCTCAAGACAACTAAAATAAAAAACAGTGATAACAATTGCCAGTGAGGATACAGAGAAACTAGATCACACATATCTTGCTAGTAGAAAGATAAAAAGGTATAGCCACTCTGGTAAATTGTTTAGCAGTTCTTGTCAAAACTACATATAGACTTGTCACTTGAGTCAGCAACTGCACCATGGGGCAGTTTATTCTAAAAAAAATTAAGGCTTTTTTTTTGGTACCAGGGATCATACTCACAACCTCACGCTTGCCAGGCAGGAACTTACACCACTTAGCTAAACCTCCAGCCCAATTAAGACATTTTTATGTAAGAACTTACACATGAATTACCTAGAAGCTTTACTTGTAATAGCTCAAACTGAAAAATCCCAGGTAAATAGGTTTAAAAAATAAAACAAAACCCTGGTACATCCAGGGTCAAGTAAAAGGAAAAAGACGTATCCACTACAATGTGAGAACAGACTACTAGGAAAGAACATGGTAGCAGAGAGCTCAATGGTGACTGTCCTTTCATCTCACCTACTCTTTAGGTTGATGTCAGGTCTAGGCTTGCAAGAAGTGCACATGCAGTTCTTGGAACTGTTCTGTGTGTGTGTCCTGGAAATTTGCAATTAACAGGTAATACCCACTTTTTCATACAGTCTGCCATCTCCTAATCTCATTTCCCTCTGAGAGAAACATTGCCCCATAATTCATTATGGGTGCTGAAGGAGTGGAGATCTCTATCTTCATATAGCTAATTTCTGTTGAAAGGGGCTGTAGGCCCTACCTACTGGGGAATAATGCTCTCCAACTTCCTTTGGGTGTTGTTGCTTATGCTTGGGTTGAAGAAATAAAAACACATGGTGTTCAGGGTCACCCAGGGTTCCTCACAAGGAGATGGTGACATCCATTAACAGAGGAGTTGGAGAGTATACTTCTTTTCTTATGTTTACTTAGCTCGAATTTGCATTGCAAAGCACATCTCTTTCCCTAACTTTAATAAAATGCAAAACCTTGCTGCTTTTTATGCTTCTCTTGACCAATTCTCTTTTTTGGGAGAAAAAGAACCTAGAAAATACCTATGAAGGAGACTCCAGCTACCCAAAACCTGGCAACACATTTGGTGAGCCCAGTCCAAGTTACACATTTAGAAAAATTTAGGGCTGGGGATTTAGCTCAGTGGCACAAGTGCCTGCCTGGAAAGCACAAGGTCATGAGTTTGATCCCTGGTACCCCCCAAAAAAGAAAAAAAATCCTCTCACATTTAGAAAAATTTGCCTCACATCCTTATTTCTGTCACACTTTTGCAATTTTTGTCTTATCAATCCTAGACTCTTATACAAAACACACTTTCAGAATTTTCTGCTCTGTTCTGCTGGAGAACAAAGCAGAAATAAAATTAATTGTCTCTACTACAACTTATGCTTACTGTTCCAAATCAATAAATTCCATAAACATTCATTGATTTATATGGCCCACTACCTCCCTGAAGCTTGGCAATCCTTTACATCCAATTGAAAAGAATTACATTTCTTGCAGCATTTGGTTTTTTTTTCAAAATCATATAATGAGAAGGAATTCTTGATACAAAAATTAAACACAAAAGCCTATCAAATAAAAGTGAAAAATTCCTTTCTCCCCATCACTACTCCCTCTACAGAGTTAACTGCTTATTAATAGTTTGAGGTATATCTTTCAGATCAAAGTTTGTCTGTTTCATGCTTAACTGAAATGGTTAAAGCTATGTGTAATGAGTGTTTCCTTCTATCTCTTTACTTTAATGCCTGAAAATGTCCTCCCTCATATTCCTTTCCTCTACAAGGTTAATTTCTCTATCTCGGCCCTAGATCTTCTTTCCCATTTCCTTAAGGGCCTTGAATTCCCTATGAGCTCTTTTCTTACATCTGTTTCTGCCTTCCTGGAAATTCACTTCCTTTAAGTTAAAAACTACACATCTTCCATTCTCCTCATCATTTCCAGTTATCCTGGCCACCTTCATATACATTTGTTTTGTTTTATGTTTTTGAGACAGGGTTTCACTGTGCTGTTGAGGCTGGCCTTGAACTCACTTTGTAGCCCAGCCTGACCTCAAATTCACAGTGATCCTCCTGCTTCAACCTCCCAGTGCTGAAATTACAGGTGTATACTACCACACCTGCTTTTAGATGAACTTCTTGTAATCCACTTTCTGATCTTACTGTTTTCTTGAAGCTGCTGTCTTACATGGCATGTTTTTAGTGGTCATTTGTGTATTGTCTTTACAGCATGTTGATTTCAGCCCATTGTCCAAGTGGGTTGTCTTTTTAATATTAAGTTATAAGGGTTCTTAGTACATTCTAGATACAAGTCTCTGATTGAATCAATGGTTTGCAAGTGTCACCTTATTATTCCCATTTTGTGGGTTATTTTTGTACTTTGTTGACAATGTTCTTTGAAGCATGAAATTTTTAATTTTGACAAAGCAGTTACTTCTGTAGAGGTAGTAGTGATGGGAGAAATTTCATCTATTTTTTTATTTCACTGCTTATATTTTTGTGACATATTTAAGAGACCATTACCTAATTGAAGGTCATAGAGATTTACATTTCTATTTTATTCTAAGAATTTATAGTTTTTAGCTCATATACTGTATTTAGTTTTGATCTAAGTTAAATTTGTACATAGTGTTCTTTTGAATGTTGGTATCCAGTTGTTCCAGCACCATTTGTTGAAAATAGTATCCTTTTCTGCACTGAATGATCTTGGCCCCCTTGTATAATCAGTTAACTCTAAATGTAGTAATTTATTTCTGGTCACTGAACCCTGTGTCATTGATCTGTATGTCTCTCCTTATGCCAGCACCATACTGTCTTGATTACTGTAGCTTTGTAGTAAGTTGAAGTTAGCAAGTGTGAGTGTTCCAAATTGGTCCTTTCTTTTCTATATTGTTTTGGCTATTCTGGGTTGAATTTCCATATAAATTTTAGGATCAGCCTGTCAATTCGTGCAGAGAATTCAGCTGTGATTTACAGCTCCATTTTAACCATGTTAAACCTGTCATTTTACCTCTTCTATTTACTATATATGCTAATGATATCCATCCTTTGGTCATTCATATTCAAAACTGTGAAGCCCTCTATAATTCCTTCCTTTCCTTGTTCTT